TCTCGTCTTCCCCCGCAAGTCCCATAGTTTCCCATATCTTCCTGGGAGTCGACGATGAGTTGTGTCTGTGCGCTTGTTCCCTCCTGATGACTAGGTGGCCCACGGTGACCCAGGCTGTAGACAAACCTCACTACGATACCATTTTTGCAGACGAGCCACGCTGCGCTATCTTGAAGCATACGGAGCCTCTGCCACGCCGCGTCGTAAAAGCGAGCCTGCCTCAATCTTGCGAAGGTTACAACTGCAGACACAAGCCATTGAGCAGGGACCGACCAGCCCGGCATTCCTATAGGCCTACCACCTAATATCAAAAACAATGTTCTTAGAACATAAGCCCAATGTGCTAAAACAAAACAGTCCCAGCCAGAGATGTTCTAAGAACATTCCGTGCAGACCACACAAGGTTCTTAGAGCATTCCCTTGGTGGGCCCACAGGCGAGCCAGGACGCTTCGACACTGCTTGAAAGCCAGGCGGCCTTCGGCCTCAGATCCGGCGCAGCGAGGAGAAATGCGACGTCATGGAGAATCACTCGGCGGTTGACAAACCCCCCTTTAGTAGACCTCCCCTTAATGAAAACGGCCTGGGACCGAAATCGACGGACCTGGACCCGCAAAAATAACGGCCGCGACGCCCTCTCGCGAACCGGAAACGGCCAATTCCTTAATCGACGTGTCAGGGTAGGAGGTCTGTCCACCCCCGAATCACGACCAGGGCTGCAGACCCTATCTTTCTGCACCATCGTTCGAGCCGGATCGACCTGCGAGGGCCCCGGGGCCCCCAAGCTGTGCGAAGACACCCTGCTCGACGAGGGTACGTATTTGGGTGAGGATAACTCGAGGATCGCTGAGATCTGGCGGATCTGGCGGCTGTCTCGGGCGCCGCGGCCTTCTCAGAGCGGTCCGGAACGCGCTGAGAGCGCTCCGAGGCGCTCTGGAACGGATTCACCCTCGTCCTACCAGCCCCGCTCGGCTGGCCTCTCTTCCCTCGCCCCCTCCTACCAGGAGGGGGCCGCCTTGGGGGGCCCAAGAGAGCCCCCGCTGCGGAGCGCCGTTGCGCAGATGGGGGGCCACACGCGAACCCTACCCCTTCCCCCCCACGAGTTCTGCGGGGGGGGGCGGGGGTTCACTTCGCTCGGGAGCTCCCGAGCGAAGTGAACCCCCACCCTCCCCCTCAGAAAAATCGTGGGGGGTAGGGGTAGGGTTCGCATGTGGCCCCCGAGCGCAGGCTGCCCGAGCCTCCGCAGAAGGGCTGCGAAAAGCAGCTCTCGGAGGGAGTTCTCCGCGCGCACCATGCACATGGGCACGGCCTGTGACACTACGCAGCCGCAAAAGACCAAAGACGGGTCTTACGCGAGATGACGAAGCGACCGTATCGGCGGCGACGACAGGGGCGAATAGCCCAGAGCGGGCATTACACGTATTCGCCCGGGAGCCTTTTCGAAGACATAGATCATCGGCGCACCTGAATACAAGTATTGCTCTCCCCTGGGCTATTCGCCCCTACCGTCGCCTCTGACCTTACGCGGTGACTTACGCGGGCCGCCAGCGCGGCACGCTACTTAGGAGACCAAAATGCTTACGCGCGACCTCCTGTTGGGAGCTCACGCGCGAATGTCGGCGCAGACGGACCCGTTTTCTTGCGTAGCTCAATTGACACGTGGCTTCATCGCGACGGCAAGGTTCTCTGCTCGTGTTATCGAGCGAACGTATCCTTCCGATGCTGCGCATGGTCTTCTCGCCCAAGTCGCACTGCAAAGGCTGCCCAAGGCTTTCAATACTGCTAGTGCTTACTCTTGCGTGCCAAGACCTGATGATTTCACATGTCGGCTGCTGATACAGTCGTTTGCAAGCTGATCCATGATCTGTTCTCCGATCGCGCAGACTCCCCCAGATCCCATTGCTGATTTGAACGCATTCAGAGCTATCGCAATGGGGGTTGTACTCCGAGCTTAGTCATTAGCGGCGTGATATGCGTCATTTCCAGCAGGTGCGTTCAAACCTTATGCAGCGTCAAAGAAGAGCGTCAAGACCTTCTCCGGCGTGGTTCCGTATCAAAGAAGAGCGTCAAGCCCAATTCGTTGCATGCACATTGTGAAGCTGGCCGCTGTCGTCCTGCTCTTGCAGAGTCAGCCAGCCATACGGATTGATAAAGGCATTGTGATTGTCTCTTCGAGGGTATCCAGAATCAGAGTCGGATTCAGAAGGGAGGATGCCACCACATGAAGCGCGCTCGCAAACACACTACACGAATGTAAAACATCTGCGGGGACATGATCGGCCTAGACAGGAGAGCGCACGTATGTACTCGGCGTCCAACAACAACCCTGGCCCGTTTGCCAAATCCCACCTATAGAAGAAGAAAACAACGCCATACTTATAATTTGTTGGTGCTCCGCGCGGATTCCTTGGATCTGCGCTGGACCCCCCTCCCTGGCGCGCGGAGCGCGCCAGGGGCGGCGTTGGAGGCGCCGCCAGGGGAGGCCCGATCCGCGCGGAGCGCCACAAGGTTATGTCTATGGCGTTTTTCCTTCTTCGAGCCTATGCGCAGAAGAGCAGACCCCTGGGCAGAGGATACCAGGGGCGGGAGGGGGCAGGGGCACGAGGGGGGAGGGGAACGACTGGTTCACCCAGTGCGCAAACAGCGCCGTGCGGAGCGCTTGGTCGCGCGGGCGTGGCCCGCAACCTGCAGACGAGCAACGCGGACCCCTGGGCGTGGCGCGGCGGAGCGCGGTCGTGCCCGGAAGGCCAGCCCTGGAGGGAAGCGAGGAGAGGATACAGGGCAGTTATTAACACATAGGATGTTTTAACATATAGAATGTTTGATACATGATTAATTTAGGAATAAACTTATGCATGCACTCATCGTTGTTTTTAGTACTACATCCCTGCATTATGAATACATGATCCGCACGCGGAGCATGTATAAAAAACGGCACTGCAGGCAGGAGGGAGGAGGGAACGAGGCAGACTGGCCGTGGGTCGTCCCCAGCGCTGCCGCCGGGCAGTACCACGAGGTCCCCGGGTTTCGCGCCCACTGCCAGCGACCCGAAGGGCGGAGGCCTGGAGCAGCCCGGGGCGGAACCAGTCCGCGGACCACATGCCTCCCACAACCTGTTCGACCGGTAGCCTGTGGCGCTCGGGCGGATCACGCCCTCGTTGCAAGGCTTGGCCAAACCGACTGTATTCTCAAGGGGGTAAGAGCCGCACGGACCAGAGTCTATGCAGGCTTCCCTCTGCCATGCAGCGTGGAGGATAGGGAGGACGGAGTGGGGGAAGGGAATAAGGGGTGACTGGAGGGAGGAAAGGCGGAAGAGGGGTGGGAACTTGGGAAAGAAGTTGTTAGACAGGTTCAAGGTGTTCCATAAGGGTTGTGATGGCTTTAGGGGAATGTTTTTGAGGGCTCGTCAGCTTCAGGAAAGCGGGGGGTGTAGGAGGAGGAGCAGGAGGAGGAGGAGGAGGAGGAGGAGGAGGAGGAGGTGGTGGTGGTGGGGCACGTGCCTCCCTGGAGCACCTTTTCCGAGAAGCTCAGAAGGATAGGTGGGAGGTTTCTGGAGGCCTACCGAGACCTCCACGAGGTCCGCAGAGGACCTCGGGAGGCCTCCAGAGGCCCAAGGAAGCCCCTCCCCCACTTTGTTTGAAGTAGAGCCTCGAGGAGCCAGGTCCTCTCAGGGCCTAGCAGCAGCTCCAGCAGTGGCTGCTAGGGGCTGGCCACCTCTCGCGTCTGCGCCCCTCTCTCCCAGCGGGCGGCGCGGCGGAACCACCTCTGCCACCGCCAGGGGGAGGGCCCCCACTGCCCAACTGATTAAAAAGGGAATACCCAACAAACAAACATACGCCGAACCTCGAGGATCGAAAAGGAGAGATACGAGGGCGAGGAGTAGAGGGAGGAGGAGGAGGGAGGAGGAGGAGGAGGAGGAGGAGGAGGAGGAGGAGGAAGAAAGAGGAGGAGGAGGAGGAGGAGGAGGAGGAGGAGGAGGAGGAGGAGGAGGAGGAGGAGGAGGAGGAGGAGGAGAGGGAGGAGGAGAAGGAGGGGGAGGAGGAGAAGGGAGGAGGAGAAGAGGGAGCAGGCAGGATGAGGATGAGGAGAAGGAGGAGAGGAGGAGGAGAGGAAGGAGAGGAGGAGCAGGAGGAGGAGGGGGGAGGCGGAGGAGGAGGAGGAGGAGGAGGAGGCGAGCTTGCCCGCCGCTCCCCTCCCGAGGAGCCCGCGGGGGACGGGCGGCGGAAACGCCTCGAGTCCACGCCGTCGAGGGCCACTCGGCCGCCGCGGGGGTCGTAGTAGCGCAGCAGCAGGCGGCCGATCGTCGACTTGCCTGGCCGCGGCTGCGGGCCCCACCCCTCCTCCTCCGCCTCCTCCTTCTCCTCAGCCGCCTCCCACTCCCCCTCCCCTCCCCCTCCTCCATCCTCCTCCTCCTCTCCTCCTCCTCCTCCTCCCTCCTCCTCCTCCTCCCCTCATCCTCCCTCCTCCTCCTCCTCCTCCTCGCTCCTCCTCCTCCTCCTCCTCCTCCTCCTCTCCTCCTCCTCCTCCTCCTCCTCTCCTCCTCCTCCTCCTCCTCCTCCTCCTCCTCCTCCTCCTCCTCCTCCTCTAGCTACTCCTCCTCCTCCTCCTCCTCCTCCTCCTTTCCTCCTCCTCCTCATCCTCCTCCTCCTCCCTCCTCCTCCTCCTCCTCCTCCTCCTCCTCCTCCTCCTCCTCCTCCTCTCCTCCTCCTCCTCCTCCTCTCTCCTCTCCTCCTCCTCCTCCTCTCCTCCCCTCTCCTCCTCCCTCCTCCTCTCCCCCATCCTCCTCCTCCTACCTCCTCATCCTCCTCCTCCTCCTCCTCCTCCTCCTCCTCCTCCCCCGACAATTGTTTGACTATTGTGGAATATCCCTCCTATAGAAGGACTGGCCCGACTGAACCTCACATCATGGTGACCACCCCGCCGTCATTTCGCGCCTGATTTTGACAGTGATGGGGGGGGGGGGGGGGGGCGACATGCTGCCCGAACTGTGCTGGCACGTGCACTGACACATGTGCCGCCGCCTGCCGCACGCAACACAGCACGCGTCGCACCTGGCGCGGCTGGAGCACCTGGCACAGCTGCACCGGGGGCGCCTGGCGCCCTTGGGCTGCTGAGTCACCTGGCTCACCTGGTGCTCGTGGCGCACCTGGAACGCGTGGCGCACCTCGTGGCCGTCGAGACGCTCCTATAAACTTCCCCAAACCGCCTCCGAGAGGCTTCCGAAAGGTTTCCCAATAGATCCTCACAGGCACCCCAGAGGCCTCTGACCAACAACCCAGTCACGGTGGTGGGATGGGCCGAGGGCCGCTAGATCTTGGGAGAAACTGTGAGGACTTGTGTGCGAAGCGAGACGTCCTTAGCCTTAGCTGTTGCCGAGCAGGGCGCGCTCCGGCACACGCTGGTTCAGGAAGCGGGCACGATACCGTCCGACGAAGGGCCCGCAGCTCCGAGGCCGGCACAGCACCCCTCGACGGAGGGCCGCGGGCGCGCGGGCGGGAGATCCGAGAGGCGCCGCGCAAGAAAGCTCACTGCGCCCAGATGTGCGCTGCCCCTCCACCCAGCCCCCCCCCCCACGGATTTGGACGCCCGAAATGGGTACCGAATAAATGGGTACAATGCCCAACAGCAGATGTTGCCCCAAACCAACAGCGGCCCTCTGTCTCGAATGGACACGGGCCGCGGCGGCGTGGACAGCGAATCCTGTTCAAAATGAACAGGAACTGCTGGTGGGCAGTGTACCCATTCTTTCCGTACCCATTTCCCCATTTCGGGCGTCCAGAACGGAAGCGGGCAGATGCACGACCATTACACCGCTGCACTACTAGCAGGCCAGAGCTGGACCCGATCGCGAAACAGGATCGGATGGGAAACTCATCGGATCGCCAGCGAACCGTCCAAAATCGAATCGACATCGGATCGCCGCGCCTGGCTCTGGCTGGCCCCGGCCAATGCTGGTGAATCGGGCCGAATCAAGTCGAGTCGGAATCGCGGCCCTGGCCAGTGAATGGAATCGCATCGAGGCGGCCCTGAATGCGTGCAAAACGGAGGAGCAGCAAAGGTGTGAAATAGCGGCAATAATGTTCATCCTCAGGCTCGGTGCTGCTGCCGAGTTCGCTAGCGCACGCCGTCGAAGCAGAGCACGTTGTGCCAGATGTGTTTCAGTATCAGGCAGAGGATGGAGGCAAGGAGGGGGAGAATCAGACTAGGAGGGATGTGGGGACTGCCAGATAGTGGAAAGGAAACCGGGGGAAGTAAAAAGACAGACGGCCGCACGATCGGACGGCGTAGCAATCAACTCCAGCATCCGTGCCTTGCCTGCTCTCTGCAAGGCTCAGCTGCATGAGCAACTTTCATCGCGGCCGCCTAGGAGGGATCGGTAGATCAGGGGGTGCTCTGGCGACGGTCCACACACGCAGACACTCATCTAGGGGAACAAAATGTGACATAAACATAAAAACTCAGAGGTCCGCGCGGATTGCTTGGATCGGCGCTGGGGCCCCCCGGCGGCGCCTCCGGCGCCGCCCCTGGCGCGCCCCGCGCGCCAGGGAGGGGGGTCCAGCGCCGATCCGAGAAATCCGCGCGGAACTCTGAGTTTTTATGTTTATGTCACATTTTGTTCCCCTATTATCCGCCGACCCCCGCTTGCCGGATGTGTGGTGAGGCGTGTGGGCTATGTGGCTCTCCGCCTCCCCCGTTCTCCTCCCCCAGGGTCCAAACTCGTGCTTCAACGGGGGGGGGGGACGGGGGGGGCGCACGAGCTCCGAAACGCATCCCCGGGGCCTCCAGAGCCACCGAGTCCAGAGTCCGTGCCCTCCGAGATGCACAGGAGTACATCAAAGCTCGCCCAAGCTGGGCTCCAACACGCGGAAGCGGCGGCCTGTCCGTTCCCGATCCTCCCCTTCACCTCCACCTCGCCTCCACTTCCACCTCTGTTCCCGTGAGCTACGACACCAGAGGCCTCCCAGATGGGGTCGGAGTAGATGGGGTCGGAGGATCGCGCCGCATCGCCGATACATCGGCGATGCATTGGCGATGCAAAGGTGATGCACCGGCGATGCGTCGTCGACATCGGCGATGCATCCGCGACGTCGACGTGAAGCAAATCGGGCCCCACATCGAACCGCATCGCCCACGCATTGGCGATGCGGCGCGATCCTCCGACCCCATATACTCCGGCCCCATCCGGGAGGCCTAGAGATACATGCGGCCACTCAGGACAGTCTCCCAAGGCCCGTCAGTTCTCCCCATCCTACCTCCCCCCCTCTGGTCGCACTCCTCCTATAGTGAGGTCGGGCGTGCCCCCCTCCCTACAGGCGGCTTCGGGCGGAAAAATGAAAAAGGGCAAGAAACACATCGTCTCCAGACTATGTTTGGACTATCTTTGAACATTCCTCCTGGAGAGGGACATGCCCGACTTAATCCTACACGCCGCCGTCTCCCTCCACGCCCTCGCCATCGCTCGGACGTCCATTCCCTGTGTTTCTTTGTTCGGTTTCGTGCGTGTTTTTTTCGCCAAATGATCAAGGATGCTCCTCGATGGCCCTCGCCGAAGGAAAAACGCACACGTCCGAGCGATGCCAAGTCCCTCCACGCCTGCCCCACGGCGCGTGACGCCTGCGCCGCTCTCGCCGACCAGCGCGATGATGTCCCCGGGTCGCGCGACGAAGTTCACCTGGACTATAATTATGCGCGCGGCCGGCGGTTTTCGGGCAGCTACCGCTGGAGCTCTCGGCACGGCAGAGGGAATGCAGGACGCTTTTTCCGACTGGTCTTAGGTCGGGCCTGTCCCCCTACAGGAGGATTTTGGACGACACGTGGAAACTAGGCAAAAACTTTTTCCCCCAAATCCTCACCAATAGACAGAAATCGTCTCCTGAGTATTTTGTGGACTATTGTTGAATTTGCCTCCTGTAGAGGGACATGGCCGACTCAAGACTGGTCCACCGAGTGTGGCCAAACACATGCGATGCCAAGTTCGCGTTCCCTCGGCGCTGCAAGTCAGACGAGATGGTGGCGCGTCGCGTGCAGCTGGTTCTCACGCCGTCTGGTCTTGCGCGATATACCGGCGTGGAGACCAACCTGCGTTTCCGTGCCAGACACGGGGTGCAATCCATGGGGCACCCTGTGCGGGGTGCAACATCTTGGTGGGGCCCACCGGGTGCGACCCCATCGTGTGTGCGACCACCTCGTGCCGTGCGGGACCCTGTCAGGTTCAGGTCGGGAATGCCCCCCTGCAGGCGGAGGTTGGAAGCACAGCCAGACATCGAAGAATGCTCAAACGCAGTCGAGCGATCGTCGGAAAATCGTGCCCAGACCCTTCTTTGACGATTTCTGAATATTACCAGCCTCGAACTTATCCCTATCCCTAAGATTGACACGCCAAGAGACGATGACAATCTTAGGGAAGGGAATCCCTAAGATTGGCATCGTGATGAGAAGATGCCCAGCATAGGGATAGGGATATGTTCCAGGCTGGTAAGAATATCCCTCCCGTGGAGGGACACGCCCGACCGAACGTCAGGTGGGGCCCCGTCGCCTGCCCGTGCCACTCTGCCGGGCGGCGCTCTGGCGCTCTGGCGCAGGGCGCAGGGCGGGCCGCGGGAGGGGCGCTGCGCGCGAGAGCTCTCTGCGAGGCGACGGGCGCAGAGGAGTGGGTGAACTCCTCCTCCTCCTCCTCCTGCTCCTGCTCCTGCTCCTCCTGCTGCTCCTGCTCCTCCTCCTCCTGCTCCTCCTCCTCCTCCTCCTCCTCCTCTCCTCCTCTCCTCCTCCTCCTCCTCCTCCTCCTCCTCCTCCTCCTCCTCCTCCTCCTCCTCCTCCTCCTCCTCCTCCCCCCCTCCTCCCCTGTTGGTGCAGAGTCGTACATCACCGGGAGGAGAAGAAGCTGCACAAACACAATCGGCGGCGCGCCGGGGGGGGGAAGCGAGAGGGGGCAGGCGTTCGCAGAAGGCGGCGGGGCTTCTCAGAAGCCCTCTGGCCTCCCGAGAAGTTTTCTGCATCTTCGGGGAAAGCTGAGAACACTTCTCAGAAGGCCCGAGGCCTTCCGAGCCTTCTGAGAAGGCCCGCCCCGTGTCACTTCCCCCCTGGGCTCGCCGCCGACAGAAAATGTCGGAGGTTCGCGGGCCTCCCGCCCTGGCGCGCGGAGCGCGCCAGGGGCGTCCCAGCGCCGATCTAAGAAACCCACGCGGGCCTCCGAAAGCTTATGCTTGTGTCGTGTTTTCTCCCCCGGGTCAGGGGAGGGAGGGTCAGTGGACCAGGCCCCTCGGCGCGCTCATGCTGTGAATTTACCCCGACTACTCGTCCAATCCTCCCCCTCCTCCTCGTCCGCTCCTTGTCCTTGTTCTCTTCCCTCTTCGTCCTCGTCCCTCCATTTTTCGTTCTCGTCCTCCCTTCTCCTCCGTCCTCGTACTCGTCCTCCCCTCCTCTTCCTCGTCCTCCCTTCTCCGCTGCTTCTTGCTCCGCGCATCTCATCCTCAACAATAACACAGCATGAATACTAATATCCTCTCTCCCCTAATGACGTCCGCAAGATGTATGGCCCCCCTCCGCGTACTGTTTTTTACACACAGGATTCCCGGAAAATGGTTTTTGTTGTTTCAAAATGTTGTTCCCGCTGAAGAGCTGGCCTCATTGTCGGGCTTCCGCTCGTTCCGAATCGTGCTCCCGCTGCAACGCTGGCCTCATTTCCGCGCGTCCGCTCGTTCCGAATCGTGTTCCCGCTGCAATGCTGGCCTCATTTCCGCGCTTCCGCTCGTTCGGAATCGTGCCCCCGCTGCAGCGCTGGCGTCTTTATTTCCAGTGCCTGCCATCGGTCCTTCCAAATCGGCCCCACAACCTAAAAAATCCCCCCCCGAAAAAAACATCGGAAGTGATTCCACATTTGGTGTCGATTCGTTGATGTTATGGGCTGCGGAAGCCCGCGTCGCCACGCCATGCTATGTCATGATACGCGTTGATCTTCAACTCCATGCTATGCCATGTAATGCTATGCTATGCTACGACATCCGATTGTGCGAATAGAAAGGAGATCTACGCCATGGTAAATGATGGGATGGAGGGGTAGGACTTCAGATATGACGCGGGCGCACCTAGCTTGTCCCCCGCCCCCTCCCCTCATTCCTGGGAGTGGCAAGAGGGGAGGAGGGGGAGCGACTCTTCGGGGGGGGGGGGGTACGAGAATCAAGTGGGGGCTGCAGAATGAGAACGAAGCATACCAGGGGGGGTCCGATTGCGGCAGAGGGGCTCTGGGGTTCCCAAACCAGCTGGTAACAGATGGCCGAATGACCTCGTGATCTCGACGGCCTCACCAGATGCGGTGGGTGACCTGGCAGGCTCAGGGGGTTCGAGACATCCTTGCAGACCGATCCAGAGCCCCAAGACCGCTCGTTCAGCCCGAATCACGTTAGACTCATCAGATGGCGCTGGTCGGTCGCCAGACAAGTGTGAGACCTCCGAAAAAGGCATGGTAGCAAAGAACAGCACAAACACACTTTCGGAGGTCGGCTCGGATTTCTTGGGTCGGCACTGGACCCCGCTCCCCACATCCTTTCCCTGTCGCGCAGTGCGCGCTGGGGGTGGCGATGGAGGCGCCACCAGGGGTGTTGCGAGGGGGGTCTGGCGCGGACATCCGAAAGCGTAATCCCACCAGCCCTCTGGGCGTCAGTGGTCTAGCGCGTTGTCGCTCCTCTTCCTTCTTCCCAACCCCCTCTTCCCTTCGGGCCCCCTTCACTCCCCTCCCCTTCCTGATATGTTTTGTATTTTTTTTTTTGGGGGGGGGGGGGCGATGTGTCAGAGGGTTATGGTTCACCCAAGATGGCTACAAGAGGGCCTCCGATGTTATAAGATGGCCTCCAAGATGGCTCAAGATAGCTCAACATGGTTCAAGATGGCACCCATCATGCATCCAAGAGGTCCCAAGGGGGCCATAAGAAGGTTCCAAGTTTCTCTCGGAGCCCTCCGAGGAACCCCCCAAGGGGCCACAATCCTTCTAAAACCTTAAGATGATCACTGTTGTTGCCTTCTCGCCTGTCTGCTTCCGACTTGCCTGTGAGGCCTCGATATGGTCCCAAGAGGAGCCCAAGAAAGACCCCAAGAGTGCCCCATGAGGCCTCCAAGAGGCGAGTTTTCCCGCATCGAGAACAGGGGACTGAATGAAAGCTGTCCTACTTGTGGAGCCGATGGGGCCCAGGATCCCCAACACAGAGCCCCAAGACACCCCAAAAAGAGCCCGAAGATGGCCCCGCAACTCCCCAAAAGAGCCCAAAGAGGTCCCCGAGAAGCCCCACGGGGACCTCAAAAGGGCCCCGAGAAGCGTCCCGGACCCCTCAACGAGCATCCACAGAGCCCCAAGAGCGCCCCCGAAACGCCCCAATAGTGCCAAGGCCTCAGAAATGGCTCCGAATTGATCATAGAGGCCTCCACCCATCCTTGCACTGGTTCGTCATCTTCTTATGAGTATGAGCAGTCGTACTAGTATTGGTATCAGCATGTATTATCACTATCATTGCTATTGATCGCAATCTGAGTATTTGTACTAGTTAGTTTGAGATTCATCCGTATTGTTATTAATAATATGTGTATTCGTATTACAACGATTCGTGTTAATACCATCATGTTTACTATGATCAGTCGTATGAGTAACATGCAGATTATGAGCAGCATGGATACTAGCATTACTACTAATATCATTGCTACTACCATGAATACTACGGTTATTAGTATGATAGCATGTGTGTCAATATTCCTCTCCTCCTTTTCCTTCTCCTCCTCCTCCTCCTCCTCCTCCTTCTATTCCCGTTGTCTTTTCTTCCTCCTCCCCTTATTGTCAAAGATAGCGACCTTCCAATCCCCAAGAAAACTCCAAGAGGGCCCCCAGAAAACTCTGAGGAATCCGCCGTGGCATGGGGAAATTTGCCAAATCAAGCAACAATTGTTCCCGCCTTTCTGCGACCCCGACACACTTCAAAGACAGCTGTTCCACTGCAGGCTTCCACACTTCCATGATCAGGGCAACTCGCCTGCCGATCGTTTCTGTATGGGCTGGTGGGACACTCATGTTTATGCAATGTTTGGTCTCCGAACCCAGACATCCGATGTCTTGACTCGTTCAATACGGAATCCCCAGAAGTCCCGACCCGTGATTCTGAGTTGCTCTTGAGAGGACCCTACGACAGGGCCCCAGGACGATAACAGATGAAACCCCGTCCTGACTCTGCCAAGACGTTGGACGCCCGGGCTCTCTGCTCTTCGAGGCGTGGCCACCACACCGCCCTGAGACGCCCGAAGGTCGAGGGTGAGGGGCAACGTAACAAAGCGGGGGACTGGCGGGGAAATATCGAGCCAGAGTCGGCGACACGACGCCGACAGATCGGCGATGGGCCCCCGATAGCGAGTCCGCAGGGTCCTGGGCGGGGTGGGCTGTTGGGCACCCGTCGGCGATCCGTGGGTAGGAGGAGGAGGAGGAGGAGGAGGAGGAGGAGGAGGAGGAGGAGGAGGAGGAGGAGGAGGAGGAGGCCTTCTGTCTCAAATGGACCACGTCCGCGGCGACGCCGACGACAAATCCTGTTCAAAACGGACAGGAGCTGATGCTGGTCTGCGTAGTCTTTCCGCTCGGGGATCCAACGACCCAGGCCGGTCCAAGGCAGGGCCAGTTGGGATTTGCGGGGTCCTACGCGCAAGCCAGGGCCCATGCACCCCTGACTCCCCTGACCTTCCAGGAGGGCTAAAAAATAGCACCCGACCTTAAAACCTATCCTAGAGCTATTCTACGTCTTGGTTTTAGGCAGTTTCGCTCAGCGTTTTAGGTTTTTAGGTCTCCAGTGCTAAAAAATAGCTCTCTGGAAGGTCAGGGTCTGCAGGATCCTGCAAAATCTGGCGCTCGGACTGCGCCGCCAGAACGTGGCCCTGTCCACTGCCGCGGGGTCGTGTCCCGAGCACTCGGCGAGCGGTGGCTGTGGACGTCTGTGAAGGGGCCCTGGGACACACAAACAAATACACACAAATAAAAGGATCCCCCATATGTTCCCATATTTTCTGGGTTTCTGTCTTCCCCCCACACTTCCCACATTTTCCTATTTTTTCTGGGAATCGACGAATACTTGTGTCTGTGTGTTTTTTCCCCTCCTGAGTCTGCCCGCCCACGCGGGCGGGCAGATCTCCACACCCGCCGCGCCCCGAGAGCTCGGGGCACGGCTCCGAGGCGGTGGATGGTGGACACCTTCTGGCGGGGGACCGACCGACCCCCGTTTGCATCGACCCCCGCCCCCGGCACACCCGCTCCGTACCCGCGACGATCGTGCTGGGGGACGAAGACCCCGGGGGTGTGCGGGCTCCCCTCCCGAGCTTAGGTCGGGCATGTCCTCCTACAGGCGGATTTTGGGCGACAAAAAATAGCAAGAAAATATCCAACACATTGTCGACAAATAATAGAAAATCGTCCCTACACTATTTTTCGACTATTGTTGAAGATTTCTCCTGTAGAGGGACAGGCCCGACTTCATCCTGAGCCCGTTCGGCGCCTGGGTTCCCCTCGGGCCGCCGGGCGCGCCCTGGGCTCGCGCGGTGCAGCCGGCGGCGCGGCGGGCCACACTCCACCCCGCAGAAGCCCTGCGGCACCCGGGCGCCGCCACCGAAGCCAGAGGCTCGGCGGTGGACACACCTCCGTTTAGTAAACCTCCCTTTAGTGAAAACGGCCTGGGACCGAAACCGACGGACCTGGACCCGCAAAAATGACGGCCGCGACGCCCTCTCGCGAACCGAAAACGGCCAATTCCTTAATCGACGTGTCAGGGTAGGAGGTCTATCCACCTCCGACAGAGGCGATGATAGGGGCGAATATACCCAGGGGAGAGCAATACATGTATGCAGGTGCGCCGACGAGCTGCGTCTTCGAAAAGGCTCCCGGGCGAATGCGCGCAATGCCCGCCCCTGGGCTATTCGCCCATATCGTCGCCACTGATGCTGCCGGTCCACTCGCCGAGCGCGGCTCCGGCGTCCGAGGGGCGGCTCCGGCTGCCGGTGCCGACGCCGGCACTCGCCATCGCTCGGGCGTCCATTCCCCGAGCATTGTGTGTGGCTTCGTGCGTGTTCTGCTTGGTTTCGTGGGCGCTTTTTTCTGTTGCTCGATGATCCAGGATGCTCCTCGGTGGTCTTCGCCGAACAAAAATGCACACGTCCGAGCGATGCCAAGGGCAAGGGTCGTCACGAAGAGCCACGGCGGTCGCGCTAGCCTCTCGCCGCCCCCCCCAAAAAAAACACAAGCAGAGCCGGGGCGGGTCGGTGCGGGGCACGGGGGCGCGGCTGGCCTTGCTAAGCACGAGGTGGTCGGGTCGCCCCTCGTACGCGAAGTCCACGTCCTCCACGGCCAGGTGCCCGCAGCACCTCCCCCGCGAGGGCTGCGTGGGGCGCGGGCGCGCGGGCGGGGGTGCCCTCCCCCCCCCTTCAAAGCTCCAGCGAACGAGAGCCACTACGGCGAAGGCTGTCCCAACTACCGGGGTGGGCGTGCAGCGCCGCAGCGCTCGGTGCACATTCTCGACGAAGCCTTCTTGCAGAGGATGGAGGTCGTTGTCTCTAGGGACGGTGTCTACGGCAGGTTCGCGTCGTGACGACCCCGGCGTTGGTTTCTGACACCGCGTGGATCGTTCAACCTTGAACGATCGGCGGCTTTTCCGTCGCTCGATCGTTCCATGTAGGCCGACTCTGGGCCACTGGCGGCGTTAAACCTTGAACGTCCGCGGCGGGGTCGCCGCTGGTCGACACGACACGAACCTACAGTACGTAAGGATGCCGACTCACAGCGCGGTTCCCGCATCCCTGCGCCGCAGCGGCCTTCCGATCGCGCGCGCGCGCCACTCAGGAGGAGCGCGCGCTGGGTGGCCCCGTCTGGCGGCGTGCCAGGCGTGGGCCCGGAGTGGGCACGGGCGGCGCGAGGGCGCGCGGGCCCCGCGGGGCCACAGAAGAGGGCCAGGGCTGGACCTGAACGCTGTTCTTCGTTTTGCTTTTTGCTGTGTGTCTCGTGCTGCTCTGCCTGTGTATTCCTGTACCTCCCTCCCGAAACGAACCAAAACAAAAAACAGAACACAGCCGAAGTTCAGCGGAACAGCGTTTGGGTCCGGCCCTGGAGGAGGGCTGGGGAGGGGGAGGGGGCCACGAGGAGAGCCAGCAGGGGGGGGGCGAGGATGCAAGGCCCATCGCCATGCCTGATCTCTGGCTGTGCTGCGACTTGCGGGGAAAGCGGGAGTCCGGTCCTCGGTGCCCCAAGAGCGCGTTTCTTTATTTTCGGCGATAGTGGGCATTATAAGGGGGGATGGGGGAGGGGCCAGGGGGGGGGTATAATGTAACGGCTCCCCCCCCGCCGTGCGCATGGCGGCAGTGCCCGGAGCGCACTGGAGGGAGAGGGGCGTTACGTCATGGCGGGGCGGGGGGGCGGGGGGCTATAAAGAGGGGCGTTACGTCATGCCGGGGGGGGGGGACTATAATGCCCATTTTGCCCCAAGCAGTAAAGAAACACGCTCCAAGATGCTAGTGTTGCGCCTGAGATCTCTACCTCCAGCGCACGCCTCATCTACTGTGTTTCATCATGTCTGGCATTCCCCTCTGGACAGGATCGACTGCGAGGACGAGGTCATCGCTGAGGTGGTAGGCGAGTTGCGGCTGATGTTGAGGGTGCACAAACTATGTCGGGCCAAACTCGGGTGTGCTTCCCCCAACCCCCTCGCTCATCATCCGTCGCCCTCGTCGTTGATCTTGTCATCATGTTTACTGTCGATACTTGTATTGCCTGCGTTACTCCGTGCCGTCATCTTTGCCGTCGTCGTCAACGTCATCCTGATCTGAAGCTTCACCCACTTCATTGTCGACTTCACTGCCATCGCTGCCGTCGTTCTCATCACCACCGGTGCCGACGCCACATGTGCTATATCGTCTTTACCAGAACCACCATGGTCGGCATCATCATCATTACCTGCATCATCGCAGTGAAGCCCCAATGTCATTATGAGCATTGGACAATAATGTGCGGCCCATGTCTGCGGAGATCGCCACGTAAGCGTTTTTTATTCGGCGTTTCGACATTGGGCGGAAGGGGGGGGGAGGGGGGGGTCTGGCTCCGGACCTCTGCTTAATGCGACTGATTGGAACCGAGCGTCCTGGGGGGGGAGGCTCCACCTGCTCGGAACAGGCGCCCCCAAAACAGCCAAGGTCTACTCCAAGGAGGGGGGGGGAGGGGGGGGTGCGAGGGCCCGCGCCGATCGGCAAAACAATTAACAAATAAACGATCACCACGCCGAAATGACGGGCTCATGTTTCAGACTCTGGAGCGAGTCCACGGGCTGCCTGTGGAATACGACTCTGCCCCAGACAGCGCTGGGCAGCGCAACGAGAGAAGACTGCTGGGGAGTCTTCGCTTATAGGGCTGCTCCAAGTGAGCGTTTTTTTACTCGGCGTTTCGACATTGGGCGGAAATGAGGGGGGGAGGGGGGGGTCTGGCTCCAAACATCTGCTTAGTGCGACTGTTTGGAACCGTGCGTCCTAGGGGGGGGAGACTCCACCCGCTCGAAACAGGCGCCAAAAGCAGCCCAGATCTACTCCATGGGGGGGGAGTGGGGGTGCGAGGGCCCGCGCCGATCGGCAAAACAATGAATAAAAAATGATCACCAGGCTGAGCACTGAATGCACATGTTTGGGAGAATTCCTCTCCCTGTCCTCCTCCTCCTCCTCCTCCTCCTCCTCCTCCTCCTCCTCCTCCCTAGTCTTAGGTCGGGCATGTCATCCTACAGGCGGATTCCTCCTCCTCCTCCTCCTCCTCCTCCTCCTCCTCCTCCCTAGTCTTAGGTCGGGCATGTCCTCCTACAGGCGGATTCTGTAAGAAAAGTGAAACAAATAGTCCAACATATTCATAAAACACTGTCAAACATAATCACGAAATCGTCGCCAGACTATTGTCCGACTATTTTTGAGTGCTCCTCCTGCAGAGGGACATGCCCGACCTAACCCTAGTCCCCTTGTGCTCGGTAAACTCCTAGATCGCCCAACGCCGCGCCTCCCGCCCCGCAAAATGTGTGCAACGAGCGGCTAAGTATCTTCGCGCCATCGCGAGGCTACCCTGACGTAGAGCAGAGCTCTTGACTGCGCATGAGCGCCAACTTACTTGAGGTACACCCCATGACTCAGGACTTGAGACCGCTTACAGGCGTGTGGCAGGATGCGCACGGGGCTAACGGACGCGCAGCGCATGTTGCAACACTTCGGGCCCATATGCTTGCCATGTACGTAGCCCGCAGGAGCGGATCAGACCGAACCCCCCCTTGTTTGGTCCATCCACGTGCCCCTTCCCGCGTGCCACCCCAACCCGTGCGATGGCCCTCCCGTGTCCACTTCCCGAATGCGGCCCCCTCAACGACCGCAAAATCCAATTTTCCCACTCCCGAACACGGCCCCCTCCCTACAACCGTTCACGAAAATCCCCTCCTGCCCCGCAACTGCCCCCCCCCCCTCCCCAACGAGACTTCCAATCCCTGAATAGCCAACCTCTTCCGAAAGTGTGAGGAAGTGTTATGCCTCCCCCCCTTGCGCGCCGGCCCACGACGACGAACACGACGCGGCCAACGACGACCGAGGAAAGATGAGACCAAGACCAGACCACAACGACCAATGGAAACGACGACGACGACGACGACGACAACCACGACAACCATGACGACCACGACGACGACGACGACCGACCGACCGACCGACCGAACGACGACGACGACGACGACGACGGACGACGACCGACGACGACTCACAACGACAACGACGAGTGTGGGAGATTAAGAAAGCCTCGGACGGGTCGGGGCAGAAGGAGATCAAGGAGAGAAGGCGGACCCAGCAGACGGAGAGAAAGAAAAGGAGATAGAGAAGCGACTCCTCCTCCCGGCCCCCCACTCCGCGAGACATCTGCCACCGTCCACGGGGATGGCGGGGTCGCGCAGCAGGAGCTGCACGAACTTGCCTTCGGGAGCCGCGGCCGCCACATCGCTCCAGACAACGTGCGATCCGAAGCGCCGTCGAGGTTCGACAGGCATTCCTCCTCAACCTGCCGCTCCTCCCCCGCCCCCTCCTCCTCCGCAGCCCCTTTCCAGTCTTGCTAGTCTGCCGCCTGCTGCTGGTCAACCTCGTTGGCTTCTGCCTCTGCCTCCGCCTCGACCTCCTCAACCTCCTCCTCCCCCTCCCCCTCCCCGCCTCCTCCTCCTCCTCCTCCTCCTCCTCCTCCTCCTCCTCCTCCTCCTCCTCCTCCTCCTCCTCCTCTTCATCTTCATCGGTGCTGTCATCAGTTGGATGCCAAGCTTGGGTAGAGCGCGAATAATCGTCGCCAGACAATTTTCCAGTATTCTTCAGCTGTCCTCCTGTAGAAGGACATGCCGATTTAATGCAAAGCATAAGTGCACCATTTCCCCTGGTCCTCCTCCTCCTCCTCCTCCTCCTCTGTTTCCTCCTCCTCCTCTGTTTCCTCCTCCTTTTAACCCTCCTCCTCCTCGTCCTCGTCCTCCTCCTCCTCCTTCTCCTCCTGTTTCCTCCTCCTCTGTTTCTTCCTCCTCCTCCTCCTCCTCCTCCTCCTCCTCCTCCTCCTCCTCCTCCCCCTCCTCCTCTTCCTCCATGGCACCCACGGGAGGAGACTTCGACGCCAGGCCACCGCTCCCCGGAGCGCAGCCCCCCTCCCCCCGAGGCCGAGGAGGAGGGGCGCGCGCCTCGAGGGGCGCTGGCGGCGGCGCTGGTCTGCCCCTCGCGGGGCCCCGCGTGGTGTGTTTGTTTTCCACCGCCGCCATCAGAAGTAGGGGGGGAGTCCTCATCCTCCTCCTCCTCCGCCTCCTCCTCCTCCTCCTCTGTTTCTTCCTCCTCCTCCGTTTCCTCCACCTCCTCCCCGCCTCTTACTTTCTGAGGCGGCGGTGGGAAAAAGCAGCCTCTTCGCAGCGCTCTCCGCTGGCCTGGGAGAGGGGCTGGGCCACGAGTGAGGTCTGCACGTAGGGAGATGTTTTTTTTGTTTTTTTTTTCAAACCAAAAAAAAGCATGCGCCTTGAAGCCAAGCCTCAGCTCAGGTCAAAACAAAGCAGCTGAAGCCCGACGTTGCGGCCAGCAGCCCGAGGAGAGGCACGATGGGCCCGCGATCTCTTCTCCGCACCAGCGAACAAACATAAACAGAAAATGCCATACGTTCGGCGCACCCAGAAAAACTCGACCGCCCGCGTACGGACGACGAGACCCAGCCACCCCTGGCGCTGGTGCGCCAGGACGATGGCTAGGCCCCGCCCCAGATGCGGGGTAAGCACACGGATGCCTGCCCGAAGGGTCAGTCGCATCGGGCCGTGCGCGTGCGCTGGGATGCCTGGCCGCGGCCGGGGGCCGCAGCTAGTTGCATCGGGCCATGCGCCGAAGGGCCACTGACAAAGACAAGGAGACACAGAAAGACAAGTAAAGAGATCAGTCTGAGCTCCCTGAAGATTGTCAGTCTGGCTGTCTACCCACTCCCATGCAAAAGGAGTCGCGCACCTGGGTCAGACTGCCGAGCTCAGACGGAGCCCCGCTGCCAGATCCGCATCCTTCGGCCGAAGGATCGAAAACTTCACAAGAAACGCCAAGACGCTGAAAGGCCGTGATCTGGTGCCCTCTCTCCAAAATGGCGAGGGCCACTCCGGGAGGCTGGCCAGAACACCCCGCGCCTTCAGGCTCCTGGCCCGAGCGACGAGAGCGGAGGCAGGAAGCGCAGCGCCAGAACGTGGCACACCAGATCCACTCGTGATGGTACTGGTCGGCCGGCGGAAGATGAAGGGGCCTTGGGACACACAAATTCGCCGGCCCAACGGGCCAGGGCGTGCTAAGATCTCCGGTAACTGGTTAACAGTATTAACAGTATTTCTAGTTCGCGCGCGCGGGGCGGCCCCTGGGGGTCCCCCGGCGAAAAGTACCCCGACCAACGCCCGGTCGCCGCCCGACCAAGTCTACTCAGAGATGGTTTTCCTTCTGGGTGCGGCCTCTCAGGCTCCCCAGAGCGCGCTCAGAGTGCCCCAAGAGGCCCCCAAGACTGCCCAAGAGGCCCCCGAGACGCCCAAAGAGCGCTCGAAGACGCCGAAGATGACCCCAAGACGGCCCAAAAGGCCCCCAAGACAGCCCAAGAGGCCTCCAAGACGCCCCAAGAGCCTTCCAAGAGGCCTCCGAAGAGAGCCCCAAGAGGCCAAAATCGTTGATTTTCATTGGTTTTTTCTATGTTTTTTGTGTTCTGGCTTTTTCGGCTTCCGGACGCTCCAAGACGGCCCAAGAGGCCCCCAAGACCGCTCCAAGACGGCCCACGAAGCTCCCAAGACGGCGCCGAAACGACCCAAGAGAGCCCTCAAGACGGCCCAAGTGCCGCCCAAGACGGACCAAGAGGCCCCAAGACGGGCCCAAGAGGGACTCAGGAGGGATACCGAGAACTCAAAAATGGAGCCCTCCGTCCCAGAAGGCGCCCAGGAGGTCCCAAAGAGGCCCCAAGAGGCCTCCAAGAGGCCCCAAGATGTCGCCAAGAGGCCCCAGGAGACTCCCAGGAGGCCCAAAAGAAGCCCCAGAAGGCTCAACAGACCCCAAGAGGCCCCCCAAAGAAGCATCTTGACGACGACTCTATTTCGCCCCATCGAGAGACGACCCCCAGGGAACTGCTTCACCATCAAAACTCCCCACGCAACGCGTCCGAACGACACCCGCCCCCAAGAGCGCAACATGGGCAACGAACACACAGACAAAAACCAGCGATGCCATATCACGGGCCGGCGGAATGAGCGAAGCGATTCAATAAATACACACGAATAAAACGATTCCCCATATTTTCCTATATTTTCTGGATTTTCGTCTTCCCCCCCACTGCCCATATTTTCCCATATTTTCCTCGGGGTCGACGATTAATTGTGTCTGTGTGTTTTTCCCCCTCCTGAGAAGAGGAGGGACCACAGCTCTGGCAGGGGCCACGTATTCGACCCCGTCCAGGTCAAGCTGGGGCCACGAGGGTAAAGGCCCGGCGGCGAGACGAGAGACGCCATGGGCCACCTTGAGCTGCCAGTCACTGCGAGCCAGCTCAGCCTCGGACCCGTACGGACGGAGAGCGGCCCTACGAGTGGCAGCCCTGCCCGCCTCGTCGCTCCCCTCCTTGAGGAAACGCTGGTCACAGATTAAATCAGGAGAGTCGGCAACGTGGGCCTTCACTTCGTGAAGGACGGTCAGATGGGACCGAAGCGTGTTAATCATGAGTCCCGCATAGGAGCCTTTTATAAAGGGAGCTGCTTGGCTCTCGTATGGGAAAAAGCCTTGACCACATTGAGACAGTCGCTGCACCCTGTGGCGGGCCCCAGGAGGCAAAGCGACACGCAAGCAAGATTGCCAAACTCGGCCGCTTGGGAGATCTGGGGGAACCTGTCCCAAAGGGGAGCCCACATACTATATTGGAAATTCCTGTTAGTATCATACACAGCTATGCCCCACCCTGCCCTGCTTAAAACATAAACAACTCAGAGATCCGCGCGGATTTCTCGGAGAGGCGCTGGGGCCACCTGCCGGCGCCTCCAGCGCCGCCCCTGGTGCGCTCCGCGCGCTAGTGAGGGGGGGGTCCAGCGCCGATCGGAAAAATCCGCACGGACCTCAGAATGTTTATGTTTATGTCACTCTTCGTTCCCCTAAGTAGAGGCCTCCCAACTTGAAGTAGCCCTGGGACACACAAACGAATAGACGCAGATCCTAGGATTCCCCATGTTCGTCTTCCCCCCCACCACACTTCCCAAGTATCTTCCTGGGAGTCGACGGTACATTGTGTCTGTGTGTATGTGTTGTTTTCCCCTCCTGAAATGAGAGGCCTCCCCAATGAGGAGGAGGAGGAGGAGGAGGAGGAGGAGGAGGAGGAGGAGGAGGAGCAGGAGAAGGAGCAGGAGGAGGAGCAGGAGCAGGAGCAGGAGCAGGAGCAGGAGCAGGAGCAGGAGGAGGAGGAGCACCGCGCCGCAGCGCCGAGATGCATCGGCGACGCCAAACACGTGGAGCACACTGGGCCCTGCATCGAGCCGCGCCGCCGACGCATCGGCGCTGCGGCGCGACCCTTTGACCCCCTCCGCTCGGACCTTCCGCAGACGTTCCCGGGAGGGACCGGCGTGGCTCCTCCAGTGGCCACCACTGGACCCCGGCGGCCCCCCGCAGGCCTAGGAGCCGCCCCCACTGTCTCCTCCAGTGGCCCCCCCCCGCGGCCTCCAATGACCTCCAGTGGCCTCCAGGGGCGCGAGCAAACGATTGGGCGCCCGAGTTACCCCTGATGATTTTGGGGCTCTGGACGCCCGAATTATCCGGGGTAACTCGGGTCCGGGGTAAATCGGGTTCGGAATCCCGAAAAACGAACCCGAGTTAGCCCTGACCCGAGTTACCCCTGATGATTCGGGGCGCGAGCAAACGACCTGTGGACCACTGGAGGCGCAGGAAGGCCAGGCCACCTGGCAATAAGGTGCTCCCAGGAGCGTCCTCTGCTCGGACCCCCTGCGGGCGGCCCGCGACAGTCGCGGCAAACTTCTCCGCGCGCGGGCGCCTGCGAGCGCGGCATCGTCCCGGGCCGAGGGGGTGCGCGAAGCGCCGGGATCGGCGGCGAGCCCGCGGGGAAAGGGAGCAGGGGCGGGCCTTCTCGGAAGGCTCAGAAGCTCCCTGGCCTTCTGAGAAGTTCTCAACGCCTTCCCCGAAGAGACCCACACACACACAAAAACAAAAACAAAAAAAAACTTCTCAGGAGGCCCGGGGGCGTCTGAGAAGTCCCGCCGCCGCCGCCTGCTGAGAGGGCCTTCTCCTTCTCACTATCCCCCCTCGCTCGCCGCCGACAGGAGGCACGGCGTCCATCGGATCGAGGTGCTCGAGGCATTGCGGGGAGGGCGGGAAGGGGGGAGGACAAGCATACGGGGTTGGATCGAGGGCACCTCTGAGTGCAGGCGGTGCCGGCGTGGGGGGGGGGACAAGCAACGGGAGGATGAAGCAGCGTAGCTCTTCTTGCTCTCTGCCCCGATTGCAAGCCGATGTCTCTGTCAACCGTTCGATGCTGGAGCCACATGCTTTATTGCAAGCACGCCGCATCACAGCATAATCTCTCGATATCACTGCGAGAGGTGCCTGACCGCCCGCGGTGCCTTCCCCAGATCATCGCTGACCCCTGGGTCGGATACCAAATTGTACGAACTCACAAAACACATTCATGCTCGTCCCTTGACAACGGACTCAGGGTGGAGGCTGCCTGTGGAAGTGATGGTCTGCTTGAAGTTGACCCATATGTCCGCCAAATTCTTGAAACCATCCTGCCGGGGAGCGAAGGCTGACTCACCCGATGAGCGTATACGACCCGCAGTGATTTGGATGCAACTCAGGAACTAGATGCAGATGGGTCGGCTGGGCAAGTTGCAATAGTATAGTTTGTCAAATCTAGCTGAAGCAACAGTAAGCATCGCAGGCGCGTGCAGGCTCGCACGAACAGCGGTTAGAGCAAATTAGGAGGCGGACGGGAAAGGGATGTGTATGTTCGGTTTGCGACATCCCTCTGGGTTGTTAACGCGCACGCTACCAGTATGTGGTGAGCGCGACAGGCGCGATGTGAGCGGCGTCCGTACCGAATGCTTCTACAGGAGCGATGGCATCTACTAGCACTAGGTGTAGCAACGGTAGATGTGTGCACTGTAATGGTACGGGTTATCGGGGTCTTGGCAATAGACCCCGCAACATGGTAACGGGCTGCGAGTGCACATGCTGGATGATGCGCCGTTCGTGTCGAGTGCCTGGGCGGCTGCGAACGCCGCCAAGGGGTCTGGGGGCAGTCGCAAGGTGGTCGGGGTCACGGCGACCGATTGATTCGATGGGGTGAATACCAGCGGCAGAACATCAATGCGCGCCTCTTGAGATAACCCTAGGAGTTAATGAGGCCAACGCCACCACCGTCGCAAGCATCTATTGCACGTGGTACCGCAGACGCGTTGGCCAGCGACCCGTCGCTCCAGCCTAGAATCATTCGGTGTGTCTCGGGTCAAGAGGACAATAATGAACACATACGTTCGGGCACGTCGACTGCTTCCCATCTTACGAGAATGCTACGGCCACTGTGATTGGGATCACTGCTTCCGATTCGCTGTAGACCCCGCCAAGCCAAAGCTACCTAACGATATGCTCGGAGTTGGCTGGGTCATCATTTGCTGAACAATAAACTCCCCCTTCCAACATGCCACGGAATAGCAAAGTGCCAACCAGCAAGTAGGGCGACGACCTGGCAAATCCAATGCTTCCAAGAAAACCCAGGAGGACCACCGAGGCCGTCAAGATGGCCCAACATTGCCCCAAGAGGCATCTACAATCGCACCGTACCATAAGGATGCGCGAGACGGATGCAAGGGCCTTGGACGCCCATGTCGAGGCTTCTCGAGCGGGGCGCGGCCGACGAAAGTGGCCAATTGTGGACCGAGGAGGTAAGGATGCCAGGTTATCCTTGGGAAGGTTGCCCATCCCTACCATGCCGGTTGACTGTACTGGCCCAGAGAAGACCGTAAGAGGCGCCCAAAGGGCCCCAGGAGGCTTCCAAGCCAACAGCAAAGAGAAGGCCAAGAGGCTCCCCCACAGGGCCTCAACAGGCCCCATGAGGGCCCCATGAGGGCCTCCGAGGGCCCCGACGGGGCCGAAAAAGAACCCTAAGTGGTCCCAAACGAGGCCCCGGCACAGCTTCCCAGAGGCCTCAAAGCTGGCCCAGGGAGGCCCCCGAGAGGCCTCGACGAGATCCTAACGGACATCCAAGAGGAGGCCTCCGACCCACGACCCAGGCACGGTGGCGGCAGGGGCCAAAAAGGCCATTCGAGAGGATCCAGCCCGCTCGCGCGCACGCATCCGACGGACTGGGCAGACCGCTGTTATGCCTCACCGTGAGCTGGTTTCGCCACACTATGTGGTCTGGTCGATGCGTGAGTCGGCGACGGTCGAGGGGGGAAAGTGAGAAGAAGGATTCCATTTCAAAGGTGGCGGGACTTCTCAGCAGCCCTCGAGCCTTCTGAAAAGTGTTTTGTGTATTCGGGGAAGGCTTAGAAAGCTTTTCAGAAGGCCGGGGGGCTTCCGAACCTTCTGAGAAGGCCTTCTCCTTCTCTCGGAAGCTGGGCGAAAGCTGGCAAATCCGTGGCTGCTAAAACGGTTTTCCCGAAATAACAAAATACATTCCCGGAATAAGACTCAGCGCACTAAATAATAGACGGGCTGCTTCCAGAAGAAAAACGCAATTTCCCGGAGCTCCGTTTTAGCAGCCACGCATTTGCCAGCCTTCGCCTGGCTTCTGATTCTCACTTCCTCCCCTCGCTCGCCGCCGACTGGCGATGAATCAAGAGAATGTGGGGTCGGCGTCCCGAGCTGAAGTCGCCTGCCGTTCTCGCCCTGAAAAAACCGCGATCTGGGCGCGTTTCTTAATTTTCGGCGATAATGGGCATTATAGGGAGGGGGAAGGGCCGGGGGGGTATCATGTAACGCCTCCCCCCGCCGTGCGCACGGCGGCAGTGCCCAGAGCGCACTGGGGGGGAGGGGCGTTACGTTAGGAGGGGGGGAGGGAGGGCTGGGGGCTATAATGTCCATTATGCCCCAAGCAATTAAGAAACACGCTAAAGGCAAATGTAATAACACGGTTCGACCGCCGCGACACCTCATAAAGGTTGATGTACTGGTTGAACGCCGTGTACTCTCCGATACTCAATTTGCCGTTGATAACCTGTCCCACTTCCAGGTGACGCAAGCGCCCGCACCCGAAAGTGACGCGCAGTATGCAGAAGACAATCCGCCCGATCCTTCTCCACCACTCGTGCGCGCATGGCGGCGCTGGCCAGCACCGACGTGGGAAGGAAACCCGCCCACGAATGCAACGGACTCACGCGCGTGGGAGCTCAGACTTCTCCTTTGAGCATCCTGGCCACCAGCTGGAGCACACCGAACGAAACCTTCGTGGCAACAAAGACATGTGGACCTCGCTTACCATCGCGACCATGACGAAGCAAACGCGAAATCTGCCTCGTCCCGCACATCAGATCTGCGTTCAGGTGTCTGCCTGTCCAGTGTGCTCACGTCTTGCTGCGGAGACAGCTCCCCTGCACCAGCAAGCCGTGAAGCGGGTGAAGAAGGCTGACCAAACGAATATGAATACACGCCTATATCCTATATCGCCTCAAAGTGCTCTGGCAGTAGTGCGCCGTGACCGGATCGACACACGAGTCGCGGGCAAAGACGCAGGTGCACGTCAGTGTGCTTGCGCAGCTGCAATTGCGTGCCCGGGAGGGAACGATGCGGGGGGACTGGCTTATTTGGGGACTGGCTTCTTTGGGCCAAAGGTTGCCTTGGAATCGGCGATCGGCCCCCGATGGCAAAGCCGAGCGCTCCTGGGCAGGGCGGGATGCCGGGATATCAGAGCCAGCCGAGCGAGGCCCACATCAGGTGTCGACCCGGGAGGTCCTTCCACGGAAAAACGACAGGGGTGGCGGCGGCTCGACGGAGCATCTGCGACGAAATTTGCATGACCCGGTGCTGAACCATTACCAGGCGCAGCGTAGCGTAGCATGACATGGAACCGGATATGACAGCATGTTGTAACAGAATACAGCACAACATGACGCGGCATCGGACGCCGAGCGCCCCAGGTAGCCCCGATGTGCCCCCCGCGAATGCGAGCGGCAAGGAAGCCACATCCACCAGGCCCTCTCGCGGAGAAGAAGCAGAAACCCTCAGGCAGAACCTCTGCCAGGGAAAAAGCGCAGGAAGAAGCGAGAGCGTCTGGGGGGGCCCCCTCGGATGCACCCCGAAAGCGCGCCACTGGTTCCACGTCTCGCTGCTGCTTGTCGTCTCCCCTGTGCCATGTCCCACCGCTTCTTCTTCAGGCTGGACACTGGGGATTTGCCCGACGGGAACGAACATTACTGCAGGACCAGCCGGATCGGGAGAACTCGTACGCATGCTCGCCCACATAGTGGACGACACACGGCAACCACAAGACTCCTCCACCTCAGCCCCCCTCAAATACTGTTTAGGTGTTGGCAAGTCGCCCCCCCCCCCCCATCCTGGTGCATAGCGTACGCCAGGACGACCTTGCCCTCTCCTCTCGAGCCCAACCCAGCCAACAAGTGCTGCACAAAGAACATGGGAGGGTCGATGACTTTCGTGCATTGGAAGGTTCCCTTTTCCTTGCCTGCAACGTCCAAACTGAAGTCTAGCATTTCATATCATCCACGCACAAGCCTTGGCCACTGTGCACCAAAGCAGCACAACAGAATTCGGAGGTGCACAAGGACGCACCAGGAACGCATCTCGAACTAGATCGAGCAGGGAACTGCGTATCACACGTTCCCCAACCAATGCCTGCATTTAGTGGTTTTGTGGCGGCTATGTGCTCGCCGTCGCTGCCCCGTCGCCGGCTCGTCGCCGCCCGTCGGCTGGGCCTGACGGCAGTCTGGCGGCCACGCGATCGCCGTCGCCGCCCCGTCGCCGCGTCGCCGCCGCCCGTCGTCTGGGCCTGGCTCGCGGTCTGGCGGTTCCGTGCTCGCCGCCGCCGCCTCGTCGCCACCTCGTCGCCGCCCCGTCGCGGGCTAGAACGCACAACGTCGATTCTCTTTGCTACAAGAACGTTAAGTTTTACACCCCGAACCCCCGGAGTTCATGGTACACCTTTCTCGTATTCGCCAGGACGGAATTCGCCCATCCTCGGCAACAGATACTATCTATGAACGCGCACTCGTTTATCAAGAATCATATGGTTTCAAAGCCTTCCGTAAAAAGGTTTCAGAGCTCAGTGTCCCGAACACATTTTTCTGAAACGAAAGAAAAACGTTTCGCGGCAAAGGTGTTCAAAACAAGCCTGCATTCGCGCTTGCACTATTCTCGCTGACTTAAGAACCTACAGAATGCTACCAAAAAGGCGTCTCGCGCGCGCATTTCGAGATCGCTCGAACGCGCTAGAACGCGTGCTGTCGCAAAAGAACATTACACAAAAAGACGGCGTGCACACGCGCGCGTCGTCGCGCACGCATACCAAAATGCGTCAAACAACAAAGGTTCCGCAAGGATTTCAAAAACGAGTGCCCCAAAACGAATGTTCAAAAAACACATGGCTTTGCAACATCAGTGTTCAAAGAAGCCTGCGCTAGCGGTCTCGCGATTTCCTTCTCCTAAAACATAAAAAATACCCCCGATATGTTCACAACATGTTACCAGACAGGCCTCTCGCGCGCGCATGTTGGAATCACTCGAACGCGCTCGCGCGCGCGCCGCAAGAACCCCTTGCAAAACACATGACGACGCGCACGCGCGCGCGCATGCCAGAATCGTTCAAAAACCCTGGATGTCACAAGGATTTTAAAAACGAGTGCCCAGTTTGAAAAAAATGCGTTCGCGGTCTTGCCTAGTCTTCAGACAACCATGGTGTTTTAATCTGTTCATCAAATTCTGCCAAAACGGCCTCTCGCGCCGCATGTCGAGCTCATTCGAACGCCCTTGCGCGCGTGCTGGGGGTGGGGGCGGTCGGGGGGGAGCGCGATTTGCGACGCCTAATGGCGCGCGGGCCACTCGCGCGCGTCGGCCGGAACTCCCTCAAAAACCATAGAATTGCCGGCGCGAGGACATCGTCATCGTTATCGGCATCGTTATCGGCGGGCGCGATCAGCATCGGCGCCGTCGTTGGCGACACCGTCGTCATCGCCGCCATCATCGGTACTTTCAAAATCATGTCTACCGTTGTCGGCGTCACCCTGACGCCGCCAGCACAAGTCACCGACCCGCGCTGATGTGCCCGCTGTGAAAGGCCCAGAAGTCAGCGCCACCGCGGCCGCGTCCGTCGCGCCAAACTACCCGGCCACTACGCGCGCGAGCACGAGCGGGCCTGCGCGGCCGCTGCGATGCACCGGCCGGCCAACGTCAAGCACTCATCGCAATCGCCGCCGCATAGGTTTTGCAAACCAAGTAGCGGCCGGGTGGGTAGGGCGTTTGCAGGGGCGTGGAATTTGTCAACTCGTTCGTGAATATCTACAGCACCACATAGATTCACCATTCGGAAAGAGATACTAGCTCAACCCTCCTGGCTTCACTGCCCCCCTGGGAAAATACAGTGCGCATTCGATGTTGCCCCATCGATCGTGCTGAGTACGAATTCAAACCATCCCCGCCAGGACGGCATCGACCCCCCCCACCCCGCCCATCCCCTTCATCCCTGTCAAATGGCAGTACGCGAGCACACTCGTTGTCTAGAAACCGCCGCGACAAATCGCACAAAGTCTAGGTGCGCGCGCCGTCGCGCGCGCGATGCCGACAATGCTCCCGAACTTCGGGTTTCGCAGGGGAGTCAAAATCACGCATGCCAGAAGCATGCAGACGCGCGGTTGGTGCAGGACGTTTCAAACGCACCTGCGCGCGTTCTTGCGGATTCTTCGGGCAAGCGACAGCTGTTCACCACGTTTGTCAAACGCGATCAAGGGGGCCTCTCGCGCGCGCGAGTCCCGTTCCACTCGCGCGCGCCAGGCGGCGCGCGTATCGAAATCTTCCCAAAACCATCTTCATCGACGCGCGGGCGCCATCAGCGTCGTCGGTGCGACGCGCGTCGACGCCGTCGTCGGCCTCGCCGCTCTCGCCATCGCCATCGCCGCTGCCATCGCTACCATCATCATCGTTTCCACAATTGTCGGCATCGCCATGATGCTGCGCTCGCCCGGGCCACCGACTCGCGGCGAAGCGCCCGCGCGCCAGCGTGGTCTCTGAGACGCGCTGGGAAATCCCCGTCGGCAGACGCCACCGCGGCCGCGTCGACTGCGCCAGACTAGCCGGCCGCCGCGCGAGCGAGAACGCGCGCGCCAGCGGCCGCAGAGATGCACCAGCCAACGCCGGACACTTCATCGCCATCGCCGCCGCGCAGGGTTTGGCAAACCCACTTGCGAGTGGGCGGGTGGGATGGTAGCCCGAGCGCTGTAGTGGGCAACTCTATCTTCTTCACAAGTAAGTACGCCGCATAGACTGCGCCGCGTGGACTGCGCAATATTTATTCGCCCACCGTACTTATATATGCATATATATATATATATGTGTATATATACAGATATACAAATATACATATATACATATATTAGCAAACAAAAGAACTACCACCACCACCGCCGCCGCCACCGCCACCGCCGCCGCCCTCACCCAACGTTATCGCCCCCCCTCTGGTTCCGCCTCCACGCAGTTTACATCTGGTTCCGCGCCGTCATTCAGTCTTAATGCGAATTGAAACCACCCCACCCAGGCCGCCATCGCCCCAATGACCCCTTCCGAGTGATACTATGCGCGCGCTGGCTCATCTAAAACCAACAGTTCCGTGTCTTCGTGATGCAGGAAAACACGAGAAGTCCACGCGCTCGCGGCGCCACGCACGCGCGTCAAAATTCGTCGACAACCTTCGGTTTCGCGGGGGAAGAGATCGAGGCCCGAAACAGATTCTCAACAAAAGCAACAAATTCGCATTTCGATGTTCTTAGGGACTCCGCGCGCGCTCTGGGGGACTTTTAGGGGAAATCATAGGTTGTCAACAACGCAATCGAATGAGGCGCCGCGGATCTCTCGCGGGCGTGCGTCGACGTCTTTCGGGCGCCCGCGCGCCCTTGGCGGGGGACGGAAGCACGCGCCCTCTCAGATAGCACAGCGGGCCAACCGCGCGGGCCAGCCGCGCGAGCGCAACGAAATCCATCCGCGACGTTCATCGCCGACGCGCGGACACCATCATCGTCGTCGGCGTGACCAGCGCCGGCGCTGTCACTGGACTAGCCGCGGCCATCGTCGCCACCGCCGCCGCCATCGCCACCGCCATCGTCGCGCCCGCCTGCGTCGACGTCGCCGCGGCGCCACGAGACTGCGCCCGCGCGCCAGACAACGTGAATCACACAGCGCTATCGCCTGCGAGTGGGATTTGCCAACCAAGTTGGCTGCGCGCGGGCGGGTGGGATGGTTGCGCGAGCAGTGCGCGTGACAACTTCAAGTTCGACCAGGCGAATTCCTCTTTTGGGAAAAAAGGAATAAGGACCCCCCCCACCCACCCACCCGACCCCCCAAGTCTTCGCGTCTCTCCCTGCTGGGGGGATGCAATTTACGCGCGGTCCTGCCCCGTCGTTCACCGCGAATATCGAGTCATAGCACCCCTGCGCCTTATCCACGCCATGCGCGCACTCGCGTATCACAAATCATCGGTTGACAGAACTCCTGCGACAAAAACTGGCAGAATCCACGCGCGCGCGCGTCGTCTCGCGTGCATGTGCGAACCCTTGGGAATCCTTAGTTCGCGCATGGGTGTCAAAATCGAGCTTTCCGAGAACTTCTCCTATTCTTTCAATGATATAGACGTCCTTGCAGCATGAGTTCTAGGCGGAAATCTAGGCGGGAAAAAATGCGGCGCGCGCGCTGTCGCGAACTCTTGAAAGAACCTTCAGCTTTCGAACACGCTCATCGAATGCAAGCAAGCGGGCCTCTCGCGAGAGCGCATGCCGAAATCACTCGAAAATCGACTGCGGGACTTACTGGAAATCACTAGAAAGTCCGCACGCGCGCAGCGACGCGTGCACCTGCCGAAATCGGGCAACAATTCCAAACAACTCCAGGTTCTGTGATGATTCCAAGATCGAGGTTCCCGGAAACCGATGAGATAACAAGACTTTTTCCCTACCTTGGCTCTGCCTAGAAGGGTTATTACTCTCTTAGCTTAAAGGGGCCGGGCAGTGCTAAGCGCCCCGGGCGGTTCCCCCCAGTTCCCTGGGAGCGGTTCCCCCCAGTTCCCTGGGAGCTTTAGCTTTAGCTTTAGCTTTAGCTTTAGCGTTAGCTTAGCTTTAGCTTAGCTTTAGCTTAGCTGTAGCTTAGCTTTCGCTTAGCTTTTCGCTTAGCGTTTAGCTTAGCGTTTAGCTTAGCTTTAGCTTAGCTGTAGCTTAGCTGTAGCTTAGCTGTAGCTTAGCTTTAGCTTAGCTTTAGCTTAGCTTTAGCTTAGCTGTAACTTAGCTTTAGCTTAGCTTTAGCTCAGCTTTAGCTCAGCTGTAGCTCAGCTTTAGCTTAGCTTTAGCTTAGCTTTAGCTTAGCTTTATTAGCTTAGCTTTAGCTTAGCTTTAGCTTAGCTTTAGCTTTAGCTTAGCTTTAGCTTAGCTGTGGCTTAGCTTTAGCTTAGCTTTACCTTAGCTTTAGCTTAGCTTTAGCTCAGCGTTACTCTTACTACTAATGCTGCTTTCCTAGGGGTTCCAACTCCTAGGTAGGGTCGCACTGGGATAATTGTTCCCTACCTAGGCTCTGCCTAGAAAGGTTCTTACTCGCTTGGCTTAAAGGGGCCGGGCAGTGCAAACCGCCCCGGGCGGTTCCCCCAGTCCCCTGGGAGCCAAGCAAAAGCAACAGCAAAGGTAAAAGCAAACGCGCGGTTCCCCCAGTTGCGCTCCCTGGGTGCCAAGCAAAAGCAAAGGCAAAAGTGAAGGCAAAAGCGAAGACAAAGCAAAAGCATAGCATAGCATGGCATAGCATAGCATAGCGCAGCATAGCATAGCGCAGCATAGCATATCGCAGAATAGCATAGCATAGCATAGCATAGCCTAGCCTAGCCTAGCCTAGCCTGGCCTAGCCTAGCATAGCATTGCGCAGCATAGCATAACATAGCATAGCATAACAGAACATAACATAACACAGCACAGCACTACTACTACCGCTACTGCTACAACTACGACGATGAGGAGAAGGAGGAGGACTGCGTTTACCGCTCCCACTAATGTTGCTTTCCTAGAGGCTCCAACTCCTAGGTCGGGTCGCACTGGGATAATTATTGCAACATGTTGTGTGTGCGTGTGTGTGTGGAACAAGTCTGCGCGCGATCTTGCGAATTCGCACGAAAACCATGACCACGCTCATCAAATTAGACCACGCGGGCCTTCCGCGCGCGAGTGCCGAAATCATTCGAACATCTTTCTGCGCTTGCTCGGGGGCACGACCCCTGTCAAATATCACCATGCGGGCCGCTCGCGACCGTCGGCTGCGCGCGCATGCCAGAACCCATCCAGAACTGTCATCACCGACGCGTGGACATCATCATCATAACTGGCGTGACCAGCATCGGCGCCATCATTGGCACTGCCGCCGTCAACGTCACCATCGCCACCAGCATCGCTACTATCACCATCGTGTCTGTCGCACTGAAGTGCCCGCGCGCCGACGGGGCCTGCCTAGACGCGTTGGGGAATCCCGAACGGCCGACGCATCCGCGGCCGCGTGGGTCGCATACTGGCTAGCCGTCGCGCGAGCTGGCGCGCGCCAGCGCAGCCGCACCGATGCGCCAGCCAGCGCCGAGCAGTCATCGCATTCGCCGCCGCAGCGGTTTTGCTAACAAGATTGCGGGTGGGTGGAGGGGGGTGGTTGCGCGAGCAGTGGACCTGACAACTCGAATTCTGGCAGGGTGAATCGTACCGCATATGGTGAACCACGTCGAATGCACCTCATATCTCACACCACGTGGTTTCCATCGAAAATATTGCACGGCATATACTGCATAAGAAATTTACTGGAACACACATATGGCACAATCTCGATAAGACCACATGGATTGCACAACATACGTTGCACAACATGCTTTCCTTATGACAAAAACCCCGGAGGCCTCGCGCGGCACCTTGAGACCCAACTTACGTCGGATTCACGTCGGAATTACGTCGGTTTCGCGCCACATTACGTCGGATGTACGTCGGGGTCACGTCGGAATATTGTGGGACTTACGGCGGAACATCGTCGGGTGAACGTCGTCCCGAATCTTACGGGGCAGACGTGCTGCCTAAATGATACAACTATTGCGCGAGTCGCGAGGTCTCCAGGATGTTCATCCCAATTTCTCCCAACATAGACTACACCACGTATATTGCACAACATAGAGTGCTCCAGCTCGATGTGTTGTGACCACGTTGGCCGACATCGGCGAATTGAGCCAAGCAACACACCTACGCAATGAGACGCTTCAGACGGGGAACGGAACGAGTGCAGACACGGGGACATAGGATGGAGGCGCAACGGAACAAGCAAGGCCTCTCGATTCCTCAGGCTCTAACTTGCTCGAGAGAAACGACAACGAGAACAATGTGACAAACAATCTACCTTTCACAATTGGCAATTTCTGACAGCCATGCGAGTCTTGAAACACCGCAACACCTTGGGTAGCTGATACGCCCGTAGCAACACGTTACAAGCAAATGCAAACTGCACGCAAACAGTTAACGAATGGTCGCCGTTATCCCTCCGCTCTCTGGACGACCACGTTGCGTATCTTGGAAAGACCGAACTGCGTGAAGCGGAGCACGGTCTCGATGTAAACAGTCGCCTCCCCATGGGAGGAAAGCCACGGGCAACCATGAACCGCCTGCCTGTGGCTTCTTTCTGCCGCCAGCCCACACCCTGGACAGCGCAGCAAACGTACAGCAAGAACAACGCCTCTCAAGGGGAACGGTAGGGGGACCAGCCCAAGGAGGGAAGCATCGACCTTGGGGTCGCGGATGCATCGCCGTCAGATCGGCGAGTGGCCCCCCGATAGCGAATCCGCACACTCCTGGGCGGGGTGGGCTATCAGGCCCCCATCGGTGAGAATAGAAGAAGAAGAAGGAGAAAAAAAAAAAACGGCATAAGCACAAACGTTTGGCGCTCCGCGCGCCATTCGTGGATCTGCGCTGGGACACCCTCCCTGCGGCGCGGAGCGCGCCATGGGCTGCGCCAGACGCGCCGCCGCGGGGGGCCCAGCGCGGACCCAAGAAATCCGCACAGAGCGCCGAAAGTGTGTGTTTATGGTGTTTTTTCTCCTTCGAGTTTGGGGGTCGACGCGTTCCCCCCTGAGACCATCCCCTCCTGTCGTTGCCCCTGAGACCCTCCTCCTCCTCCTCCTCCTCCTGCTCCTGCTCCTGCTCCTCCTCCACATCCTCCTCCTCCTCCTCCTCCTCCTCCTCCTCCTCCTCCTCCTCCTCCTCCTCCTCCTCCTTCCTCCTCCTCCTCCTCCTCCTCCTCTTTCCTCCTCCTCCTCCTCCCTGCTCCTCCTCCTCCTCCCCCTCCTCCTCCTCCTTCCTCCTCCTCCTCCTCCTCCTCCTCCTCCTCCTCCTGCTCCTGCTCCTGCTCCTGCTCATGCTCCTGCTCATGCTCCTCCTCCTCCTCCTCCTCCTCCTCCTCCTCCTCCTCCTCCTGCTCCTCCTCCTGCTCCTCCTCCTCCTCCTCTTCCTCCACTCGGGGAGCCATGGGCCCTCCTGGCCCGAGGAGCCGCAGTCCCCCCCGCGCGTGCGCCGGGCGCTCACTGCCGCCAGGCCGTGGACACTCACTGAGGAGCGAGAGCAGAGGAGGAGGAGGAGGAGGAGGAGGAGGAGGAGGAGGAGGAGGAGGAGGAGGAGGAGGAGGAGGGGGAGGGGGAGGGGGAGGTGGAGGAGGAGGAGAAGGAGGAGGAGGAGGAGGAGGAGGAGGAGGAGGAGGAGGAGGGAGCCTGGAGCTCACCCTTCTGGGCCTGTTTTTGTTAGACCCTGGCAAGTTTCCTTGCATGGGCCGTCCAACGACTGCCTACCAGACCACCCCAACCCAACCCGAAGACCCGAACTTCTCCCGAGTTCGGTGAGCGGTGATCAGAAGGTCCCCAGGGAGGGCAGTCAGGGCTCCAGAGACGGGGGCACAGCAAAGCAGGGGGTACGGGGAGCGCCGAATTCCTCGTTTGGCCATGCCTCCCTTCAGGGGGCCCCTGGGCGCCGCGGGCGGGGGGCACACCAGGCGGGGGCACAGGGGAAAGCTTAAGCCCTCGTTGGGCTAGGGCCCCCGTCTGCGACGCCCCGAGGCCGAAAGCTTCGTCCGCCCCGCCGGAGTTGAACAGGGACCGACCGTCCCAGCACTCCTATAGTCCTACCACGAAGTGTTCTTAGAACCCAAACATGTTTGGAGAACGAGAACAATGTTCTTAAAACATAAACCCGATGCGACAAAACAAAACAGATTCTGCCAGAAATGTTCTAAGAACATTTAGTGGAAACCACAAAAGGTTCTTAGAACATTGTTTGGTAGGGCTATAGGCGAGCCAGGACGCTTCGCCACTGCTTGACGGAGGGGACTCCCGAGAGCCTGTTTTGGTTTGACCCTGGCAAGGTTACTTGCATGGTTGAGGGGGGGGGCCTGAACCTGAAGCAAGCCGCGAACGACCTGCGCGTGCGGAGACCACGCAAGTCGAAGGGCACTCTTGCACGAGGGGCGAGGGGGGGGGGGGGGCGGAGCGAACGCCATGCAAGCCAACTTGCCCGAGCGTGATTAACAGAACCAGACTCTTATTCGCGATCACGCCCATGACCAGCCTCGCCTCCCCCCCCCCCCTCGCCCCCGCCCCGTCGCGCCACGATTCGCGCCGGCGCCGCCTGGGAACGAACCGCTCGTGAGCTGGACGGAAAAAACGGGCTGAGCATAAGTAGGAGACCGCACGTGAGCCCTGCCCCCGCCCTCCACAATTCCTAAGGGGGGGTCGGGGTTCATTTCGCTCGGGAGCAGCCGAACGAAGTGAACCCCCACCTCCGCTTGGAAATCGCTGGGTGTGGTCGCCGAATAATCCTTTTGGCGCTCCGCGAAGCCTTCCTTGGATCTGAGGCTGGACCCCCCTCCCTGGCGCGCGGATCCGAGCGGAGCGCCACAAGTTTACAGGGCAGTTTTTAATACATGGGAATTTGATGAGTGAATGTATGCATGAGCTCATCGTTGCTTCTAATGATCAATGCATGATCAAATTATGAGTAAATGTATGCATGAACTCCTCGTTGTTTTGAATCCTAAATCCCTGCATTTTTAATACATGATCCGCACGCGGAGCATGTATAAAAACGGCACTGCATGTTTATGGCATTTATTTCTCTTCGTAAGCATTCCCAGACGGCGCCGGCGCGAATCGTGACGTGACCAGCACCCCCATCGCCCCCTCCCCACCCCCACGGTCACGCCTGTTGTCGCCAGGGGGCAGAGAGCGGCCTCCTGGTGCCCGCGTGAGCCCTGCCCGACCCCGCGCGGGGACTGGCCCCGTCGAGCTCGCCGCCCTCTCCCTGAAGACGCGGGTGCCGGGCTCGGTGACATGACAGCACACTTGCCCTGACCCCTCTGGGGGCGCCGCTCAACAATCGATCAACGACGCCCGATTCGTTGTCACTGGGATCGGGCCGGCCCAGCTGTCAGACCGGCACTTGCTGCACAAACACGCTTTCAAGCCGTGATTTCGTCACGTGCAAAACTCAATTCGAGTAGCCCCTCTCGTACAACAAGAAGCTGGTCGGGCGAGTGATCATGCAGCAACGTTCTCGACAGCCCTTGCACGACTGACAGCCATTGCCAGTGCGATCACCCAGCAGGAGGCACTCCACGGGATCCATGACAAAGATGATGGGCCTGTTTTCCACCACCACCCCCAGCATAAATTGGAGGGGGGAAGGAGGAGGAGGAGGACGAAGAGGAGGAGGAGGAGGAGGACCCCCTCCCCGTCCAACTTATGGTGGTGGCGGTGGAAAGCCCTTGGCCGCGAGCCCAGAACAGCCCTTGGCCGCGAGCTCAGCTTGGCCTTTCGACTTCTTGTCCAGCGGACTCCGCCGCAGCACGCGCTGCCCTGGGCTGTCCACGCACCCGCCTCTCGTGTCCGTCACCGTCTCACGGCGCCCGGGGCCTGGGCGAGCGCCCCAGAGCCCGGGCACGCGGAAAACCCTCCGCCCCCTTTCCAAGGCTGCGCGCTGACGGCGATGTTGCTCAACGGTGGTGTTGGGAGCGAAACTGTAGGACGTCGCGAACCGCACTCCCCTACAGCTCAAGCGTGCGAAGGTATCGAACGAAGACGACACAGCGAATCGCAGGAATGATGCACGAGCCACGCGCTCCCACAACACCGAAACCTACATCGCCGTTGCCTACATCGCCGTTACAGGCAAAAACCCGAATAAGGACGCGAGGTAAGGACGCAAGACCCTTGGAAGCCGAAGTTGGGAATTTTGGGGCGGCGGATGACGAAAACCCCAAGGACGCAAGAGCAAGGAAGAGCAAGGACGCAAGGGTACCCTGAGCAAAGTCGCGCGTCCTAATTGGGGTTTCTGACTGTAGCGTGTCTACTGCCTGTCCCTCAGCTCTCCCTTCCTCATGGTGACTGCAGCTCACAGCGCAGCGAGCGGGCCTTGATAATCCGCAGATAATAATTCAGGCGGTCCATGAAGCGCGAGGCCTGTGGGCGACGGACGGTCGAGTCGGGCACAAGCCGCGACGATTGGGGAAGGATAGAGCCATCGAGGCTCTGAGGCTCTCAAGCGCACTGCCAAAACACCCTGCCCCAGCAAACAACTACCGTCGGGGCGTTGACCTAAGCCAGCCTAAATACGGAACGAGGCCCCTTTGTCATAAGTCAATATTCGACTTCCGATCGAAAGCCAAAGGAAAACCTGAGGCAAGGTGCGAAACAATTAAAGAACACGGAGCCCCTCCCAAACACAAAAGGGTTCCTACTTCAGCGCCTCCACTGTATGCAAAATTGGATCCAGTACAGTGAGCTCATACAGGGCAACCTGGACGATGCGACACATGAGGTGGAACGTAATCATGTAGGGCAATCCATGAGTTGTAACGGCTGTCGTGCAACCTGCGGAAGAATTCCTACAAACTGGGGAAACATTCCCTCATTCGCTCTCTCTCTCTCTCTCTCTCTTTCCCTCTCCCTCTGATCGTCTCAACTTGCACTTCCAAATTCCTTCCCTGACGTCGCCTTGGCGCTTTGCAAACCGCCCGACGATGCTCCAGATGGCTTCCAAGACGGCCCAGACAGGCCACCAAGGCCGCCCAAATGACCCAAGATGCCCCCTAGACGGCTCACGATAGCCTTCAAACGGCCCAAGGGGCCCCCAGTACGGACCAAGACGGTTCTAGGAGGACCTCCTAGAGGGCCCGAATCTGTCAAAAACAATTGATTTCCCCAAGATGCTTGAACGATTTCCGCATCCTCCCCTTTTCGGCCTCCTATCAGCCTCAGATGGCCCAAGAGGCCTCCAAGATGGCCGAGACGGCCCGAGAGGCGCCCAGAACGGACCAAGAAGCCCTCGAGATGACCCAAGAGGACCAAGGCGGCCCAAAGACGGCCCAGGGAGGCCCCGAGGCGGCCCGAGCAAGAGACCCACAAGACAGCCATTCGGGGCCGCAGGACGGCCCAGAGAGGCCCCCCACGACGGTCTTGGGCAGTACTGGGCCCCCCATGGGCCTGCGCGGGCCCGTCCTGAAGCCCTCTCGGATGGCTTCGGAGGCATCTTTTTTTTTTTTGGGGGGGGGGGGGACGACCCCAGACAACCCCAGTATATTCTTTTGATGCTTGAGGGCACTATGCCTCAAGACCCCGTGTCGGGCACATGGCTTCGGAGGCATCTTGGGCCGCCTTGGGCGCTCGTGAGCTCGGACAGTTCTTGTTCGTCGGCGGCGAGGCAGCGTTGGCCGCAACAGCGATAGAGCCACACGGGGCACCGAAAAGCGATTGGCCAGCATGCGAGGGAGTGGGAAGAGGGCAGAGCGGGCGGCCGCGGGGGGGAAGGGGAAGAAAGGCCACTCCGAGGCGGAAGAGTTCTCACCGGAGTGTGCTGGCTCGTGAGATCGGACAGAGAAGAATGCAAAACTTGCAGAACCGATGAGTCAAGCCTCTTAGGTGGCGCTCGGGGGGTTCTTCTCGGGCATCCTGGGCCCGTCTTCAGAGCTCCCGGGTGGGATCGGACCAGGTGGGGTCGGCGGATGTCGCCGCATCGCCGATGCATCGGATACAGCGGCGACGTCCGCGTGGAGAAGATCGCGCTCCACATCGAGCTGCATCGCCTATGCATCGGCGATGCTGCGCGATCCTCCGACCCCAGCCACTCGGACTCCATCTGGGAAGCCTCGAGTTGTCGGCTGTCTCTTCTAAGAAGAAAGGCCTAGACATAACCTTGTGAGCGTTTTCTTATACGGCGTTTCGACATTGAGCGAAAAGGGGGGGAGGGGGGTCTGGTTCTGGACCTCTGCTTGGTGCGACTGTTTGCAGCAGTGCGTCCATTATGGGGTATGGACTCCACCTGCTCGAAACAGGCGCCAAAAACAGCCAAGATCTACTCTATGGACGGGGGGGGAGTGTGGGGGGTGCGAGGGCCCACGCTGATCGGCAAAACAATGAATCAAAAAACGATCACCTTTCGAAGGTCCGCAGATTTCTTGGATCGGCGCTGGACTCCCCCTCCCTGGCGCGCAGGGGGCGCCAAGGGCGGCGCTGCAGGCGCCGCCAGGGGGCCCAGCGCAGATCCAAGAAATCCGCGCGGAGCTTTGAAAGTTTCTGTCATTGCGGGCCCCAAAAATCTACACCACCACCATCACCACCTCCCTCACCCCTTCCCTCCCCCAGGAAGGAGGAAAGGAAAAGGAGGGTTCTGGGAAGGAGTGGGACTGGAGGTGGTAGAAGTTAAGTTCCTTTTTTCCGTTGGGGCCCGCATTTATGATGCTTCTTCTCTCCTTCGAGTTTTCGGCCGTCGTGAATCGTGGTGGAAGTCATCGAGCTGTCAGTGGCCCTCCTACGACCCTCGTCAAAATAAACCTCAAACATGTCTCACGTGGCTGAACTGTTTGTGGGGAGATGTTAAACAGCGTAGCGACGACCGCGAGGTACTTGTCTGCGCCGCCCCTCCAATGTCGGTCGTCATCGAAGTTCTGGAGTCGTTCCCGGTCAGACCACCTTTGCCCTGGCCCCGACACTTGCCGTCACTCGGACGTCCATTTCCCGTGCATTTTTCGGTTTCGTACGTGTTTTTTGTTCCTCGATGGTCCAGGATGGTCCTCGTGGTTTCTCGCCGAGAAAACATGCACACGTCCAAGCGATGCCAATGACATTGGGGGGGGGGGCGTCGCATCGACATTGACGGGCGCGCCGACATCGCAGGGGCGTGTTCGCCGGTTTTGAGATTGAATTTGACGGAGGGTAGTAGGGCCCCCCTTCCTGCACGGTTTCCCCCGGGGCCGTAGGCGACCCGAGGAGGAGGAGGAGGAGGAGGAGGAGGAGGAGGAGGAGGAGGAGGAGGAGGAGGAGGGAGGAGGGTGGAGGGGAGGGGGAGGAGATGGAGGAGGAGGTGGAGGAGCAGGGAGGAGGAGGAGGAGCAGGGAGGAGGAGGAGGAGGAGGAGGAGGGGAGGAGGAGGAGAGGAGGAGGAGGAGGAGGAGGAGGAGGAGGAGGAGGGAGGAGGAGGAGGAGGAGGGAGGAGGGAGGAGGGAGAGGGTGGAGGAGGAGGAGGTGGAGGAGGAGGAGGAAGAGGAGGAGGAGGAGGAGGAGGAGGAGGAGGAGGAACAGGAGCAGGAAGAGGAGGAGGAGGAGGAGGAGGAAAGAGGAGGACGGGTCGCCTAAGCCCTTCGGAGAAACCTTCCATAGTAGGGGCCCCCTGCCGCTGCATCGAGGTCCTCTCCGGTCTTCCCCAATGCGCCATCTTGGGGCTCCCCCAGCGGCGGTCTCGAGCGGCCGGGGAGGGGCCAGACTTGTGGTGGGCCCAGACTTGTGGTTCGAGGCCATTGCTTGTGAGACCCAAGGTACTGCCGAGTATGTATATTTGTACACACACGTACATCCATCCATCCATCCATCCATCCATACATACATACATACAGACAGACATGATTATATAAATATGTAAATCTATATAATACGTACGTGCATACATACTTGTATACGCACATACATACAGCCATTCACATACACACATATGTACGCACATGCAAACATGCATGCATTCATACATACATACATAACTACACACATGCATACATACATGCATACATGCACACGTACATACGTACCCAAACACATACACACCACACAGCCATACCATACCTAGTTTCATACATACACCTATACCCTATACATACATACATACGTACATACATACATACATACATGCATGCATGCACGCACGCACGCATGCATGCATGCATGCATGCATGCATACATACAGACTTCCATACGAGAGCGCGTTTCACGGGCGCTTGCTTTGGGAACATTCGGCGCCGTTGATCAAAAACAGGAGGACTCCCCTCCCCCCCAACCCCCCCCTCCCCGGCGCCAGCGCCGGTGGCCGCCAGCAGCGCCGACGGCGGGGACGCAGCGACGATGACCAGAGGCAGCCCAGGAAGGGGGGGGAGGGGGGGTTTCAAACCCCCCCCCCCTGGCGCCGAGGGGGGGGGGCTCTCAAACATCCCCCCCACCCCTGGCGCTGGCGCCAGCGCTGGCGGCGGCCAGCAGCGCCGGCGCTGGCGCCGGCGACGGCGGGGACGCAGCGACGATAACCACCACTACCACCACCGCCACCACCACTACCACCAACATCACCGCCTCAACACACCACCACCACCAACCCACCACACAACCACCACCACCACCACCACAGCCACCACCAACACCACAACCACCACCACCACAACGATGACCAAAGGCAGCCCAGGAGTGGGGGGGGTGCGGGTTCAAACCTCCCCCCCTCCCCTGGCGCCGAGGGGGGGTGGGGTTCAAACGCCCCCCCCCTGGCGCCAGCGCCAGCGCTGGCGGCGGCCAGCAGCGCCGGCGCTGGCGCCGGCGACGGCGGGGACGCAGCGACGATAACCACCACTACCACCACCACCACTACCACTACCACCACCGCCTCAACCCACCACCACCACCAACCCACCACACAACCACCACCACCACCACCACAGCCACCACCACCACAACAAAAACCACCACAACTCACCATCACCACCACCACCACAAAAACCCACCACCACTACCACCACCACTGCCACCACAATCTACCACGCCACCACCACCACCGCCACAACCACCACCACTACCAGCAGCACAACCCACCACCACCAACCACCACGCCACCACCACCACCACTACCACCAGCACCACCTCCACAAACCACCACCACCACCACAACCCACCACCACCACCACCACCACAAACCACCACCACACCACCACCCACCACCACCACCACACCACCACCACCACCACCGCACCACCACCACCACCACCACCACCACCACACCACCACCACACACACCCACCACCACCACCACACAACACCACCACCACCACCACCGTCGTCCTCGTCGACGCTCCCCGCCGCCGTCGCCCGCCGCCGCAGGCGCCGGCGCCCAGAAAAGGAAATCGTCGTCCCCGCCGCCGCCGCCAGCCGAGGAGAGGGAGACAGGAGAAGTAGGGGAGGGGGGGGGTCGAACCCCCCCCCTCCGTCACGGGAGGGGGGGGGTTCGAACCCCCCTAACCCCTCCATCCAGGGGGGAGGGGCGGGAGGGGGTCCGGCTCCCCCCCCCCCTCCAAGCGACCACAGAACGAGCTCCTGCATACATACAAGCATGCATACATACATACATAAATCCATACATACATACATAACTAAATACATACATACATACATACATACATGCATGCATGCATGCATGCATGCATGCAAGCATGCATGCATGCATACATACATACGTACATGCATGCATGCACACACATACATACATACATACATACATACATACATACATACATACATACATACATACATACATACATACATGCATACATACATATATACATACATGCATACATACATACATACATGCATGTATACATACATTCATACATATATGCATACATACATACATACACACATATATACATACATATAAACATACATACATACATACATGCATACATACATACACAGATACACACATACACACATACATACATACATGCATACATCCCTACATACCTAAATCCCTACATACCTACAGACCTACAGACCTACAGACCTACGTACCTTCATACCTTCATACCTTCGTACCTACATACCTACATACCTACATACATGCATACACACATACATACATACACGCATACACACATAAACACATACATATATATATATACATACATACATACATACATACATGCATACAAACATACATACATTCATACATACATGCATACATACATACATACACACATACAAACATACATACATACATACATACATACATACATACATACATACATACATACATACATACACATATACACACATACACACTTACATCCATGCATACAAACATACACTCATCCATACATATATGTTTATATCTATTCATACGTATATCACATACATACATGCGTATGTCCATACATGCAGCCATACATACTTACATGCACGCATGCATGCATCCATACATACATACGTACGTACATATTTGCATACATACCTACTAACTTACATTCACATAGCGACATGTGTGTGTCTCTCTCTCTCTCTCACCCTCCCTCTCCCTCCTCCATCTGGCAATGTGATTCTCCGATCCACTCCTCTATACCCTCAAAGCCGCCTCTCCCGACACCTCCGTCGCCCCATTCATCCTGGGCGTCAGAACATCGTCGCTGGCTCACCGCGCCAGAAGGCGTGAAGACCCGGCCATCACTGCAACTGAAAGCGCGGTGCCCACGCTGGTGCTAAGCTGCTCCGGGCTGCGGATAACTACGCTGGCGCTGGCTCTGCTGGTGTTGCGAAGTCTCGGGTCACCTGCGGTGGCCCTTGGGGCCAGGCCCTGTGGGGAGTCTTCGGGGCCTCCCTTGGCGCCCTCTTGTGGCATCCTCGGCCCCCTCTTGGGGCCTCGCTCGGGGGCTCTCTTGGGCCCTCTTGTGGCGTCCTCGGCCCCCTCCTGGGCCTTCTTGTGGCATCTTGGTGGCCTCTTGGGGCCTCTGGGGGGCCTCTTGGAGGGCTCCAATGCAGCCCTAGGACCCGCCCAGACGTCTCCAAGATGGTTCGACCGAGCCTTGTCGATGCCGGGACAATGGACACCCTCACAGTCCTATCATTGAGTTTAACATATGTTTAAAATGTCGGACCACATGGAAAACAATGGGTTTTCAGTGTTTGAGACACTTTATAACATATTTCCGACATCTGTAAAATATTTGACAATTTGACAACATGCTTCCTCTCAGTTGATCGTCGTCCACAAACCGAGCCCCTTCAGGAGAGCTCCGTGGAAGCATCGCTCCCAACACGGCCGCAACGTCCCCAACGGCCCACAGCGGGCCCCGTGCACGGGTCCTGGAGATGCCCCAGAGGAGGCCCCCACGCGGGCTCCAGGAGGTCCCCAACCAAGGGGCGCCACAGAAGCCCCCAGGGGTGGCAGGCCCAGAGGTTGACACCAACACCAAAGTCGGCGGTGTACCTCCACCGAGGGGAGCTGATCCCGATCGTGGTGGTGGTGGCAATATTCTGGCTTCCCAGGCGGCCGAAATGTTGCCACCAACACCGAAATCTATGATCATCCTCCCCCGGTGAGCGCGCTCCCCTGTTTTGGTGTTGATCCCCATTTCGAAGCCTCCAAAGGGAGGGAAGGGGGGGTGGGAGAAGGAGGAAGGGGAAGAAAGAGGAGACGGATGCTGCGGACGAGAAAGGGGCGGTCAAGGCCCGCGCCAGTTCAGCCGGGGCAGTGAACTGAAGCGGAGTTTCAGCTCAACCTACTTCCAGCTGCGCTGGCCTGGAGGCGGGCATTGCCACAGGCAGACGGATTGGCAATAGTGTCTCCACCTCTTGACCATGACCTTCCTCCAAGGCTTCGGCAAACTGACGCTGGAGGCCTCCTGGCACTCGCCCACGTTCGACTGCACCGTCCGGATACTGCCCAAGACCTCTATCGCGACACCGTTTGCCTTCACCGGGAGAGGGACATCGCTCGAATCGATCGCCCTGCGATTTACGCTTATGGACCACATCCCAGAACTAATTTCGAGCACCCGGAAAAGTGTCGAAAGAGTGTCGAAAGAGTGTCGAAAGAGTGTCGAAGCAATGTCGGCCCAGGGCCGGACACGTGAAAACCCTCGAGTTTCGGTACTTGTGTTGTGCTCGAAATTCTTCCTGGTGGTCAAGGCTATAGCAAGTTGGAACATCATAAGTGTACGCAGTCTCTGTACAGACGGTGTGCCTGCTGCTCTTGCCGCAGCGCTTCACCCTGGGCTGTCAAGCTGCACACATTGCACCTCGGACGACTCGCACTTCGCAGAGACATTACGCGCACTGCGTAAACTGCGGTAGCGGCGCGCGCTGCGTAGGCTTGCGGGGCATGCGCATTAGAACTGCAGCAGGCATCGTAAGCTAAAGGCAAGCTGCGTGCACTGCGCGGGTCAAACAAAAACAGTGTACAAGATTTGCGTTGTGGTGTACACAACGCGCACACCGTAAATGTCGCAAACTGTGCTCACATCGCGCAAAAGACATTACGTATAATTTCATATGGCCTCACTATGTGAACACGCATGTCTTGTCAACGCTTGGATCCTTTGTGCTGCCCATGATTCAATCCGTCTACATGTATGCCCGCCTTTGCCATCGCGTGGTTCTGGACGACGCCATAATGCCCGACCGTCTTGCCCGTCTTCCTGCCGTGGATCACATGAACAAAACTGTAAGCAAATCGTGGTGGGCCTGCAGCACACGCGGTTGCAAGCTTGAGCTCGCTGGCAACAACTATGCGCCTACTGGGCATACGGGTGGCACGCACGGCGCGTCGCGGCTCGACAACGTGGAGCGCGCCTGCTGTCCAGTTCCAGCCGTCTCTCGACAGGGCGGGAATTGGCCGAACAACCCAACGCCCTGAGCTGGGCGCGCGACCCGAAGAAAACAACAATACGTGGATCCCTACATATTGCGCGTGCACTCCCCGCCTGCCCTCGCCTTCCCTCTCTCCCCCTCTCTCTCTCTCTCTCCCTCTCTCCCTCCCTCTCTCTCTCTCTCTCTCTCTCTCTCTCCCCTCGCTGTTTAGTTTTTTCGTATATGGATATTGCGTCGGTGTACTTGCCCGCAGACCCCGCTCTGCACTCGATGGTCCAATTCCTACTCCCAGGAAGAAAGATATGTTTGTTAGCGTGGCCCTAATGTGGTGTGGCTGTGTGTATGACAATATGTGTGGTGACATATATGTGGAGCAATATATGTGGTGAAACCTACGTGGCGCCATTCAACCTGCCGAACTTGACCACCCACCCGCAACTTGACTTGCAAAACCAAGTTGCGGCGACGATTGCGATGACTGTATGGTGCTGGCTGGCGCATCGCTTCGGCCGCGCTAGCGCGCGCAGGCTCGCGCGCAGAGCGGCCAGCCAGTCTGGCGCAGCCGACGCGGCCGCGGTGCAGCTGATCGTTGGGGACTTTCCAGCGCGTCCCGCGCCCGCGCTGACGCGCGGACACTTCAGTGCGTCATGGCAGCGATGCTGGTGGCGACGATGACGATGACGACGGCAAGGTCAATCATTGCGCCAATATCGGTCACAGCGATGGCGATGGTTGTGTCAACGAGTCGGTGATGAAAGTTGTGGAAGGACTTCGACATGACCGCGCGCAGCCGACGGCCGCGAATGGCCCGCATCGTATTTTTGTTGAAAGGGGTCGTGCCCCGCCCCCCCCAGAGCATGCGCGCAAGGACGCTCGAATGTTTCCGACATGCGCGCGCGAGAAGCCCGTTGGAAAACCTATGGATTTCTTAACGACTCGCATAAGCACGCGCGCACTGCTTCGGAAACCCGTGTTGCAAAACCCATTGGTTGTTTTTTGGTGTCATATGCTTTCGGGGTACTCGATGTTGAATTCTGTACGGAACTTCAAGCTGTTGAAAGATTCGGCATGCGCGCGCAATGCCGCGATCATGTGGACTTGCCCCCATCGGGTGTAAGGAGTTTGAAATACTGATGATTATTGATTAATGGGCGCGCGCATAGTACCATCTGAACAACAAATTGACAAAATGGGGCGGCAAGGCTGGGACGATATGAATTCATAGTTATAACGAGCGGTGGGGCATAATTATCTGTAAACTGCACATCCCCAGAGGGGGAACGCATAACCGGGGGGGAGGGGGGGGGGGCAGATCCTAATTCGTTTTGCTAACGCGAATAATTGCGGTGCAACAGTGCAACCTGTGTGGTGCGATCTAGGTTGTGCCGCTTATGTTGTGCAGTATACGTAATGCGACATACGGCGCATCAGCAAAATGCTGCACTACCTGGTGCCCGCGACATCAGACGTCGTTGTGCTATCGACAATTCGTGCTCGGTCCCCCCCCAACCGAATCTTGGCTACAGGCCGGGATCGCCGAAACAGCTCGACGGCGCAACATTATGTCGGGCGCATTGGAAATGCGGAAGAGTTCATTCTCGCATGCCCCAAATATTAGACTAAGGGGGGAGAACGGTTGAAACATGCGTGTGAAGAAGAACGCAAAGTGGTACAACATTGTGTCAGTGCACGGTATGTTGCACCACCTACGTGGTGCAACATGTGTTGGGCAATGTGTGCAAAACTGTCTGTGCGGTGCAACCTATGTGGTGCGACACGTGTGGTGCAAACTACGTGATGCAACATATGTTGCGCAGTCTATGTGGTTCAATCTACATTGCGCAATATGTTCGATGCTGTGTATGTGGTACAAGGCAAATGGAACGATATATTCAGATGAACATAGGCGTAACATTCTATATGGTGCAATCGACGCGGCACATTCTTCTAAGTTGTGCAATTCCATGCGAAACAATGAAGAACGATGAAACAAGCGGGGGCGACGAGGCGGCGACGAGGCGGCGACGGCGGCCACGTAGCCGCAAGACCGCCGCACGGGCCCAGACGATGGGCAGCGACGAGGCGGCGACGGGGCGGCGACTGCGACCACAAAGCCGCCAGATCGACGCACGGGTGGGCGGCGTCGAAGCGGCGACGGCGACCACAGAACCGCCAGACCGAAGCACAGGCCCAGACGATGGGCGGCGACGGGGCGGCGGCGGGGCGGCGACGGCGACCGCATAGCCGCCAGACCGACGCGCAGGCCCAAACGATGGGAGGCGACGAAGCGGCGACGGGGCGGCGAGGGCGACAAACACAGCGACGGCGACGGCGACAACGCGGCCCAAGAGGGCCTCAGGACGGCTCAAGAGGGCCTCAGGACGGCTCAACGAGGGCCCCGACGGGCCCAAAAGAGCTCCAGAAAGACACCGAAAAATGCCATAGAAGCCAACAGAGACCCCCAAACTGCTCCCAACGGCCCACAGAAACTTCTTCAATAGGCCCCCAGAGGCGCATATGAGGTCTCGCGTCTACGTCCTTCCCTGGAAGGCTTCCAGAGGCCCACGATTCACGAACCGCGCAGGGCTTCCGGTGGCGCCGCAGAAACACGCCGCGAGGCCCCGACGGGCACCCAAGACACCCCGAACTTCACGATCCAAGTCAGGGGCGCGCCGCCATGGCGGCACGACGGCCCCGGCGGCATGACCGCGACACCCCTCGCGGCCACGTCCGCGCCCCCGTTTCGCCAGGCGGCCGCCGCGTCATCACCCGGGACAGCTCATTTCCACTAGCTGCAGCCAGCTGCAGGCCAATCGGCGCGGCGAACGCCGAGGCCCCCTCTCAAGTCTGAAGCCCCCCCTAAAGGCGCCCAAGCAATGCCCCGGCCACCTCCGAAACGAGCGCGCATCAATCGGCTGCTGTTCGTCCTCCGCATTCGCCTTTTGCTCTGCAACCTCCGCCCCGCCTCCTACTTCGCCATCATCTTCTACGTTCTCTAGCTCGTCATCGGCAAGATGCAGGCCGATCGGCACCGCGAACGCCAAGGCCCCCGAAAGCCAACCCAAGCCCCCGAAAGCCAACCCAGGCAACCTCGAAAACGAGCGGGCAGCGGTCATCGTCATCGTTCCCCCGCCGGCCGATAAACGACCCGAAGGTCCGCGATGTGCACGAGTCAACGATTCTTCCAAACCTGTTGACGACGTCGAATTTGGCGCGCGCGGCCCCCCAAACGCCCCAGATGCTTCCAGGAGGCCCTTAGACGGCGCAGAGGCCCCGAAGGCGCGCCAGAAGTTCTCAAGCTTTGACCAAGACAAAAAGAACTTTCAATTGCGCGCCCTCT